TATATATTATATTGAAAGTGCTTAAGAAAAGTCTAAATAAAGAAAAATTGCAATATCTATTAAGAATATTTCGAAATAGAAATAATTGTAAAAGATTTTAGATAAATGAAATATTAAATAAATATAAATGAAATACTAAAATACATCAAAAAAAATATAATCCTTTTTCATTGACGATCTTACGATTTTTATTGAATAGCATAAAAAAAATAAAATAAAAAATTATTATATATAAACCTATATGTAACAACACATGAATAATATACCAAATGAATTTAACTACCTTGTTGTTCAAGAATATCTGGCGGCATGTTTCTTTTGGTTGAGTTTGAGAAAATTTGGTTTGAATTTGACATTAAAATAATGTTTGATGGGATATTTTGAAATATTTTTTTTTTTTTTGAAAAAACGCAGAGTTCAAATAGTAAAATTTTAAAAATTTTGATTAAAAAAACATACCCTCAAAGTTCTTGTTTGGATACCAATTTCATGCCAAATCGTTACAAGAGAATACGTCCAACGAAGGTTTGTCCGTGCAATTAGTGAGTTTAGACAACAATCAAGAATATCGACAAAATTGTACATAATTAAAAAAAAAGAGGGATTAAGTATAAGCACATGAAATAACAAATAATTAATTAAGAGAAAGAACAATTAAGAATGATTCTTGTGAATATACCTAAAACCAAAGCAAATTAATTAATAATAGAGCAATGGGATGACATGACAACAGCAATTAGGACAAAAAACCTCTTTCACAAAAAGCCATTAATCTCTTGTTCTAATACTACAAAGCATAGTCCACTCCAAAGTATATTCTCTCAAAATTTTCACATTAAATATTCATTCATTCACTCCATTCTTTGTCTATTTTGTTGGATCTCTTTAATTGGGATGCTTTATTTTGATTGTGTTTGGATTTTTGTCTTAAACATATCAATTGGGATGCTTTAATTGGATTTTTAGATAAATTGATTTTTTTTGTGTGTGGTATAGAAAATTATGTTGGCAATATAAAAAGTAATATTCTTTTCTTCCCAAAAAGTATAGTCTTATTGTGTTGGACACAAAATTTAAAGAATATTGATATTATATTGATAGTTGGTAAAAAGTAAGGATAAATGACTTTTTTGCTCTTGTGAGTATATTAGTGTAAAAAGTAGTGGTAATTGTATAATAATAATGAAAAAGTAGGGATAGTTTTATAGTGATAGGGTTATTTATGAAAATGAGACTATTGTTTTGGGACGGACAAAAATGATAAACAAGACTATTGTATTGGGACATATGGAATATTTTTTTTTATTGAATAGTTAACTTTTTATGATTGGATAATATACATATTATATTAATGTGTGTATATATTTATATTTTTTTAATAATATTTATGAAGAATTGTTTCATTGAGAATTGTTGAGTAACAGAGTGATTATTTCATCAAACCCATATATTATATAATGAGTCAGGGGCGGAACAAGGATTCGACGAAAATAGGGGCTAACTTTTAAAATTTTAGAAGTAACACAATTTATTTGTTATTTTTCGATATGCCATATTTAAGAAACCGTGCAATAGTGACTCATTATTTCGATGAATCATTTCTTCGGACAAAAGAAAATTATGTAAACACTTACTCGAAATTTCAATTATCAGATTCCATTGTGGAAGACACTATTGTTTTCTGAAGAATTCGTCATGATATACCTGATCCATGCATAATATCATGAAAAATGGATACAAATTTTTAATGCAATATGTTTGAAAAAGTATTGCAAAATATCAAATTTCGATATTTTTACTCTATCGAAGTAAGGAACCATGACATATATATTTGATTACAGCAACATCAACTACATATTGCAATATTTATTTTAATATTGTTGGAAATCGATAAGTATTTTTTAGTAGAAAAAAATTTATTATAAATATATTTAAATACAAAATTTTTTATTATTCAAAATTCAATACCCAAACACATCTTATAATTTATTATTATTTTTTTTGTATATTTTTAGTTTATTCAATTATATATATATATATATATTAAAATTTTAAAAAAAGGGGTGGGGTATGGGGATGGGAGGGTACAGCCAATGACATACCAACCCTAAAATATAGGGAGGGTTAAAAAAATAAATAAAATTCAATAATTCTACTAAAAAAAAAATATTAAAATATAAAAATATAAATCAACAAAATTACACAAATTTTATTATTTTTTACACTATAAAAAAATAAATAAATAAAAAGGACAAAATAATAAAAAATACATAATTTTATAATTTTCACACTAATAAAATCCTAATATTTTGGAAGTTGGCTACATAGTATCCCCGGCTACAAATCCCCTTGCCTCTACGTAGGTTCGTCTTATGTCCTGAGTTATCGTAGATATGAAATTTTGGAATTGACATAATTAGTAAATAATTTAAAAATATATTAGTAAAAATAATTATAATATAATACAAATAATTATAGATTAATATTAATATAATTAATTTAACTAATTAAAATTTAAATAATTGTATATTATAAAATTTAAAATATGATTAAAATATATAATTTTTTTAAAAATAAATGAAATAGAAAATGTAAGATGGATTAAAATGATAATATGAACAATGAATGACGAATAAAATACTATAAAAACTCTTTTATGTCTAAATTGAATTTTGAAGTTTTAAATTTTTATTAAAGTAATATTGAATTTGAAATTTTATAAGAATATATATATATTTATGAAATATAAAATTTAAATAATAAAAATTGTATAGAAACTAAAAAAGAATAATTAATTATTTATATTTTTATGATGTTGTAGTAGTAGCAATCCGATCAAAATAAATTAAAAAAAAAAAAGAAAAAAAGTGATCGGATCAGAAGAAGAAGGACGGAGGGAGTATTAATTTTTTATATCATCAATATGATTTTTCATATCTAATATAATAATAAATCTATAAAAAAACAAATTGACCGAAATCCAAAATAAATTGAAGATATTATAAAATTTTCATTAAATAGTTAATAAAAATAATAGAATAAATAATAACAAATTAATTATTATTTATTTAAATAAAATTAATAAAATTATGTATGAATACTTTATTATTATTATTATTATTATTATTATTATAAATGAACTATGCGTGACATTTAAATATATATACACAGGGCCGTTTCTGATTTTCGAAGGGTCCGGGGTAAAATAAAAATTAGGGGCCTTAAATATATATATATAATATTTTATTACCTATAATAAAATATAAATAAAAAAATATTTTTTTTAGCATAATTTTTAAAAATTGTGTAACGCTCCCTTATATTTTAACAAACACTATATTAAACCCTCGCCATGCAAAAAATATATATGAAAAGTCATCTTCTCATCACCAGAAAAATATAAAAATGAGTTTCATAGAACATTTTTAAAGTATAAGGGGATTCATATCATTTTTAAAGTATGAGTTTTGAAATCATAAAGAGTTTATTTTGCCTAATAATAATAATAATTTTGTCTAATATTTACTATCTTTTTAGTGAAAAAAATAATTAAAACAAAAATAAAAGACCCCTAAATATATATATATATGATCTACTCCGATTTTTTTTTTTTTTTGCCTATAATAAAATATAAGTTATTAAATAAAATAATTTTTTCAGAATTTTTAGATAAAATATCAATAATAGTATTAATATTAACAATGTTAAAACAAAAATTAGGGGCCCAGTATAAATAATATATTTTTTATCTATAATAAAATATAAATAATTAAATAAAATAAATTTCTTAATATTTTTATATGCAAAATATCAATAATACTATTAATATTAACCTTAACCACTAGGCCATACTTTTGTATTAATATATTAATGTCAAATAATTTGTATATATAAATAATTTATATATAACATAAATAAACAATGAGCCCCAATTTACATTGGGCCCTAGGTGGTCGCCCCTTTCGCCCGGGCTCAGAACGGCCTGTATATATATATATATATTTATGATACAAGTAATATATTATAGCTATATATATATTTATAAATTATCAGATTAAATATATACATATATGTATATTTTTACAACTTTCTTAAAATTTCAAAAATTCTTACGACTAAACAGCTCTACGGCTTCATTTACCAAAAGATAGAATTTCAAAAATTTTAAAATCAGGAATATCTAATATTTTTTCTGTTCCAACTCAAAATTTTACTCAAAATTTTATTTTTAATATATTCGTTTGCTCAATTTCAAAGTATATATATATTTTTAATTTTTAACTAAAAATAATCATACATTAATATAAAAATATTATTATCTTTTTTACCTAAATTACAACTATACAATTATTTTATACATAAAGAAAGAACAAAAATATCAAAATCTCTTACACACTCACACTAACTAATAAAATAATATCATTTTTTAATTTACTACAAAACTTCGAAGGGAGTACAATTTCCGGTAAGAAAAGATTAATATTTAATATTCACTCCGTTTCATATTTATAAATCTATTTGTTTGTTTTGTGCATGTAGTTTCTACTATCTATATTATATTAGAAATTGTTACGATTAATGGAATAAACTTTATTTTCGTTAAATCATAATTAGGGTACAATGTTATATTTATACAAGAGATATATTAGGTAGGATATATATATATATAGAAATATATCAATATATATATATAATATATATCAACATCCTCTCAAACTCAAGGTGGAACCCAACTTAAGTTTGCTAAAAAAAAACTGAAAACGGCTGGGAAGGTGAGGTTTGGTGAATCCGTCGGCCGTCTGATCAGCAGAGGAAATGAGAGACAAGGAGATGCTTCCATGAGCAACGTGATGACGTACAAGGTGACAGTCGATCTCAATGTGCTTCGTACGCTCGTGGAAGACATCATTCGTCGAAATCTTCATGGCGCTCTGACTGTCGCAATGAATAATAGTGGCAGAGGGCTGAGGGACTCCGAGATCAGCCAGCAGCCAGCGGAGTCATAGAAGTTCGGCAGTGGTATCGGCAAGGGCTCTATATTCGGACTCTGCGCTGGACCGGGAGACAACTGTCTGTTTCTTGCTGCGCCACGAAATAAGCAAGTCGCCAAGGAAGAAGCAAAACCCAGTGGTCGAGCGGCAATCAGAGGAATCTCCCGCCCAATCAGCGTCAGAATACCCGGTCAAAACTAAGGAAGAACGAGCGGAATAATGAAGCCCATGAAGAAGAGTACCTTTGACGTACCGGAGAATCCGTAGGACAGCAGAATGATGAGTCATCCGAGGAGCAGACATAAACTGACTGACGATATGGACGGCATAAGCAATATCCGGTCGAGTGACAGTCAGGTAGATGAGACTTCCCACCAGCTGACGATACAAAGTCGGATCATCAAGGGGAACACCATCCATCGGAGTAAGACGACAATCAGAATCAAGAGGTGTAGGAGCAGTCTTGGAGTCAGTGAGACCGGCACTAGATAGGAGGTCGGAGGCATACTTGGCTTGAGAGAGATAATATCCATCGGAGGTGTCGGAGATCTCAAGTCCTTGGAAGTACCGAAGAGGCCCTAAACTCTTCATCTCAAAGTGGCGGTGTAGATGAGCCTACAACTCAGAGATACCTGATGCATCATCTCCCGTAATGATCATGTCATCCACATAAAGCAATAAAACAGTAATTCCAGCTGACCCACGTCGAAGGAAAAGAGCCGAATCGTGATCGCTAGAGGTAAAGCCAAGCTGGAGTAGAGCAGAGTTAAATTACGAAAACCAAGCTCGAGGTGCCTGTTTCAAACCATATAGGGCATGGCGAAGTTTGCATACCTTGGAAGAGGTAGGAAAACCAGGAGGAGGAGACATGTAGATGTCCTCGGATAAATCACCATGCAAGAATGCATTCTTGACATCAAGCTGATGCAGGGGCCACCGACGAGCGGCAGCGATAGCGATAAGACAACGGATAGAGGTAAGACGAGCAACCAGGGCAAATGTCTCCTCATAGTCGATACCATACTGTTGGGTGTAGCCTTTGGCTACCGAACGCGCCTTGTAGCGCTCGATGAATCCATCAGAGTGAGTTTTGATTCTGAATACCCACTTGCAGCCAATAGGTTTCTTGCCAAAGGGAAGATCAACCATATCTTCTCCAAAGCCTGCAACTCCTCAGACATAGCCTGCCGCCACAATGGATCCGCATACGTCTCACAAAAGGACCTGGGCTCATGATGGGACAAGGTGGCGGAGAAACAGTGATAATCAAGTAAGTGAGTAGGAAGGTGACTAACCCGAGTGGAACGACGAGGGCCAGGATCAGGGGCTGAGATCGAAGTCGTGTCGGGCTCTGGTGATGGTGATGTATCGGAGTCGAGAGTAGGAGTAGGCTCGGGGATCAGCGTCGGTTCAGGAGGCGCAACCGAGACAGCGTCAGGGACGGGAGACGGAGCCGTGTCACCGGAGGGGAATAGAGGTGGAGAGGACAAGACAAAGAACGGAGACGAACGATCAAAGGGGACTCGAAAGTGGGACAAGGAAGAGAATTTGGTATCCTCCCAAAATGTGACATGACGAGAAATACGTAGGCTATTGGAAATGGGATCCCAACAACGATAACCCTTATGCTCTAACCCGTATCCCAGGAAGCAACACAGACGCGCGCGAGGTTCTAACTTAGTGCGCTCATGTGGAGGGAGGAGGACAAAACTGACACAACCGAAAGGGCGGAGAAGACTATAGTCAGGGGTACGATTAAATAGTTTTTCAAAGGGACTGATATTACCCAGGACAGAGGAAGGGACACGATTTATAGTGTGGACAGCGGTAAGTGCGGCTTCTCCCCAAAAGCGATCCGGACAAGAGGCAGATAAGAGAAGGGTGCAGACTGTATCGAGGATTTGTCGGTGTTTACGTTCGGTGCGACCATTTTGTAGAGAGGTGTATGGGCAGGAGCGTTGGACAACAGTACCTTGATCAGATAAGAAACGAAGAAATGATGAATCAGTATACTCAAGAGCATTATCTGTGCGGAGAGTTTTTATGGTAGAGAAAAATTGGATATGTATCATTTTAGCAAAGGTCATATAAATATATGGAAGTTCAGAACGATGCCTCAGAAAGTAAATTCACGTAAAGCGAGAATAGTCATCAATAAAAATCACAAAATAACGAGAACCATTCATAGACACAACGGGCGAAGGTCCCCAAATATCTGAGTGAACTAAGGAAAACGGTGTATCCGCAATGAAAGTATTATGAGGAAATGACAAGGCAGGTTGCTTTCCCAACGAACAATCCACACAATGAAAAGACTCAAACTTGACAGAACCTAAACTACACTGACTAATCAAAGACCTGACTTTATTGGAGGACGCATGACTGAGACGATGATGCCACTGAAGGCAGGATGGTGTAGAGGTGGTGGCAGCCGAGATAGAGGGACGAGGGACCTGGAGTGACGTAAGTTCAAATAAGCGGCCCGTCTTCCGGCCCTTCCCAAGAGTCCGCCCGGTTTGTGCGTCCTGAACCTGCACACCAGTAGAAGAGAAAATCACTGTTAGACCTTGATCAACTAATTGACCAACGGAGATCAGATTTAAGGTTAATTGAGGGATACAGTATGTGTCGGGGAGGGATAAGGATGAGGTGGATGTATGTCCGGTATGGGTGATGCGCATATGGGTACCATTTGCAGTAAGGATAGAAGGTAAGGATGGTGGGGTGGATGTGGAGGTCATAAGGCGTATATCAGAGGTCATATGATTACTGCAAGCAGAATCAAAATACCAAGGAGAGTTACCTGATGTGGTAGACATGGCGGTATTGGAAGATAGAACCTGTTTAAGAAGAGCTTCCAGGTCTTGAATCGTGGGAGGCGCAGGCGCAGGCGTGGCAGAGGCTGTGACAAATGAGGTACCGGACTGAGGTCCACGCGAATGCCGAGGTTTGTAGTTACTACTGCCAGAGCGAGACGGTCTAGTGGGGCAGTACTGTATGGTATGACCTAAAACATGACAGTAGTGACACTCCACCTTTGGGCAATGACCGAAGTCATGATCAGAATACTGACATCTTTTGCAGCAATGAGAACGATTCTGAGTAGGAGTTCGGGCGGTGACCGTAATAGCAGAATCAAGTTGAGGAGCCTTAGCTAGGTGGAGACGAGTTTCCTCAAACAAAATCTCCTGAATAGCTGCATCCAAGGTAGGAAGTGGATGCCGATGTAATAAAGAGGCACGAACTGTCTCATACTCTGGACGCAAAGCCATCAAGACCTGAATGAGGCGAAGATGATCAGGATTGATCTCTGCTTGATCTAATCAATGCCAAAGGGGTTGCACTTGGGCAAGGAAGTCGTTGATAGATTGTCCTGGTTCCTGTTTTAAATCATGGAGAGTGCTCTATAACTGATAATAGTGTGACAAACCAGTAGCACGGAAGCGGACTGCCAAGAAATCCCACGCTGCCTTTGCAGTATCAAATTGAGCAAGCTGAACATGGATCACCGGAGTGGAAGTATTGCGCAACCAAGTGAGAATTTGATGGTTCTTACTATCCCAATCCTCCAATTTTTCAATAAAGGATTCAACAACTGTGGCGGTAGGCGTAACTTCTCCTATAGAAACCGGAGCAATGGGAGCAACTATATCTCCCGTAACAATTCGCCATGATTTCTGACCTATCAAAAAACTTTTCATCGATTGTGCCCACAAACTGTAATTATCTCCGGACAGAACAACATTGATCAGAATATGGACATCCATCTTTTCCATAGAAATTCAAGAGAAGACAATATCTCAAACTTCAACCCGAAAGCCGAAACGACATAAACACAAGAAAACCGAATCGAACCCAAAACTCGAAAAGTCAACTGGATGCAAAAAACTACTCAAACGGAAGAAGTGAAGATACCATTGCGGAGGAAATCAAATTCCGAACACGACGGTGAAAAGATCGCCGCCAACGGCCGCCGCACGTGCCTCCACGCGCCGGCGAGGCGTCCGGCCGGAAAACGCGTCAGGCGCGTGTGAGGCTCACGCGCCGCCGGTCGCCGAACTGTTCCGGTGTCCGGCCGGTCTCGTGGCGGCGAAGACGATGGTGGTGGCGGTGACGGTCGGAGGTGGTCGGAAATATGCTATCTGAAATGTGTGGGTTGTTTCGATTTGGTCGGGAAAAGGCATGGCTCTGATACCATGTTACGATTAATGGAATAAACTTTTTATTTTCTTTAAATCACAACTAGGGTACAATGTTATATTTATACAAGAGATATATTAGGTAGGATATATATAAATATATACAATATATATAGAATATATATCAACAGAAATAAAGATAAAAAAATCAAACTAACTTTATTAGTATTGTATAATATAAAGATAATGATATTTGTGTAATATATTGTAAATTTGAAAGGTAATTATAACGTTAGATATATATATATATAGTACAATAACTAAAAAAAATAATTATAATTTGTTACGAAATATACCAAAACAAAAAGATAGATAGATAGTTTGTTAAGAGGAGAGAGGATAATATTTTTTATCATTAATCTTTATGTCTATTTGATTTAGCACGAATTTGAAAAACAAAAAGTAAAAATAAAAGAAAATTAAAAGTAAAACAATAGAGAAAATGACATTTTTTACTGAAAAAAATATATACTCCTTTCGTCCTAAAAGTATAGTCTTAGGGTGTGTTTGTTTGGAGGTTTGGATTTTGAGTTGGAATTTGAATAGTAAAAATTTTGAATTTGAATAGTTGTATGATGTGATATAAATAGGTGTTGATGTGATATTTTGAATGTAAAATTGATTTTTAGTATAATATAAAAAATGAAAAATAGTTGTTTGATGTGATATTTTTAGGGGAAAAAAATTGAATGAATAGTAGAAAAAAAATCCAATCCCTCAAACAAACACACCATTGTGTTGAATACGAGATTTAAGAAATATTGATATTATATTGATAATTGGTAAAAAGTAAGGATAAATAACTTTTTTTTGCCCTTGTGAGTATATTAACGTAAAAAGTAGTGGTAATTGTGTGATAATAATGAAAAAGTAGGGATAATTTTATAGTGATATGGTTATTTATGAAAATGAGACCAATATTTTGAGACGGACAAAAATGATAAATAAGACTATTGTATTGAGATGAATGAAGTATGTTTTTAATAATAATAATATATATATAAATTTGAATGATAAAAATAAGTATTTTTTAAAAAATAATATCTTGATAAATAAAGAACGACTTACTTGGATGGAGAGAAAAACATTAATATTTTAAAAGGAAATTGTAGTTATGTAAACAATATCTTAGGGTTAATCGGTCAAAATAAAAAGGAATAATTGAGACAATTTAGAGAAGTTAGGGAACTTTGGTGGAAAACAGTTGTCCACACTCGTATTCCCAAGCAACACCCCTACGTTTTCTGCTGTCTTTTATTTTAAGTATTTAATTAATATTTATATTTGGATTTATTACTCATGGGTATATTTGTAATTTCCCTAGCCGTGACAATTTCAATTTGACAGACTTAGCGCAGTTTGTAGGATCCTAGGAGGAACAATCCTATAACATTATTAATGTTCTTTTTCCTTTTTTTTTTTTTTTTTTAATAATATTTATTATTCATATAGTCAAGATTATCAGCCTTGTTCAATTTTCCCGACTCCCATTTGTCGGATCAATTATTTATATTTAAATTTGGAATACAATGGCCCCTATTGATTTTGTTGCTTTTATTATAAATATTTTTCCTAATTGTGTTCGGTGCATTAATACTTCTATTTTACTACATTTATTCAATGGATTTTTTTTTTATTATTTTTTTAAATTTAGTAACTTTTTGTATTGATTAATAATGCCATTTAAAATAATGTTATTATTGTTAAGTTTCGTCACAATTAAATCACAAGAAATTACTCCATCCGTTTCATATCTATTTATTTTATTTTATTTTATTTTTTATAAAATTTTAGATATTAGTAATTATATTGAGATACAGTATAACTAATTGTAAAAAAATTAAACTGATATAAAAGTGATTACATTATTCCTTTTTCTTAAAAAAAAATAATAACTGTACAAAATTCAACTTTGCGTATATTAATGGAAAAGAATTTTGGGTACTAAATACATCTGCGAGACACGTGGCGGATGATGATATGTTGTGAGGCGAACGGCAGTCATGCACCGGGTTCAGCCGATTATTGCTGCCAGCAGACTTTAATTGAAATACACACGAAATAGCAATAGGACCTATGGTCCAACTTCCAAGCTATGGACCTACTCCGCTATTCTATGGATAAGGATAAGGCTTCCTTATTTTATTTATTTTTAAATTAAGAAATAGAATATTTATATATATTTTTTTTATTTTAAAATAATAATTTTCTTTAATTAGTTTTTCCGCCGCGCCTTTGGAAATTCAACGCGCATAGGCGCATGCATTCTCCCCTGACTATATATATAAAGCGTAGCCAAGTGTTGATTTTGCACAAACTGCAAATTGAAATTGGGAATTTGAGAAATTAGGGTTTGGTTTGGGATTCCTTGCTGTTCTATGAAAAATGGTGGAATTGGATTGGAAGACTAAGATGATCTCGTCGGAGATGCCGAGCAAATCGCCGAGGAAGGGGAATAATAAGCTCCAGATTTGTATTCCGCCGCAGAAGATTCGCGTTTCCGAGGTGTCGGCGGCGTCGGAGGAGGCGTGTTCCGCCTACGAGCAGTATCTACGCCTGCCGGAGTTGAAGAAGCTCTGGAGCGCCGGCGAGTTTCCAGGCTGGAAGAGCGAGGCGATTTTGAAGCCGGCGTTCTCTGGTTTAGAAATCACGTTCCGGTTCGTAACGACGGTGCTGTCGGATCCTCGGCCGTACGTTAACCGCCGTGAGTGGAGGCGGAGGGTGGTGGCGTTGGCTGATAGTGAAGTGGAGATTATTTCTCTGTTGTGTGAGGAGGATGAAGACGATACGGAGACTCGCGGAACGATTCCGGTGGTGGATCTGACTTCCGACGGCGGCGCTTTGTCGAGGGAGAATAGCTCGGCGGAGGTTTGGAAAATGGCGGACGATACGGTGGTGGTGAGCCACGTCAGCGAGGCGAGCCTTCTACCTCGCCTCGCCGATTGGGAGAAATTCGAAGACGTAGCGAGGAAGATCCATTTCTCGATCGAGTACCAGATGCAGAGATGTCCGTACACTCTCGGATTGGGGGAACCAAATCTGAGCGGGAAGACGAGCATCAACTACGATGCGATCTGCAAGCCGTCGGAGCTTCACGCGCTGAAGAAATCGACGAACGACGACGTCGATTCAAGCAATTTCGAGAACCGAATCCTCTACGCAACGCACCAGATTCTCGAGTCGTGGATCTTAGTCGGCAAGGAGCTTCTCCGGCGAATCTCCGACGAGATCGACGGCCGTAGGTACGAAAAGGCGTCGAGCCTCTGCTGGATTCTCGAAAAAGTGTGGTCGATCGTTAATCAGATCGAAGATTTGCATATGTTAATGGATCCGGACGATTTCTTACGCCTGAAAACTCAATTGATGATCAAAGCTACTTCGAATTCAGAGCTCTTCTGCTTCAGATCGCGCGAACTCGTCGAAATCACGAAAACTTCGAAGGATTTGAAGCACAAGGTGCCGGCGGTTCTAGAGGTGGAGGTTGATCCTACCGGCGGACCGAGAATACAGAACGCCGCCATGGAACTTTACCGGAGGAAAGACGCTTTTGCGAAGATTCATCTCTTGCAGGCGATGCAGGCGGTGGAGTCGGCGGTGAAGAAATTCTATTTCAGCTATAAGCAGTTACTGGCGGCGGTTATGGGGAGCCTGGAGGCGACGGGGGCCGTCGGCTCCGACGATCCTTTGAGTCAGATATTTATGGAGCCGACGTACTTTCCGAGCCTGGACGCTGCGAAGACGTTTCTCGGGGAGCGGTGGAGCTACGGCGGCGGTCGGCGCACAGATGGGTAGAATTGAAGAAAATTCGCCGGCGGACGGCGGCGGTTTGAAACCAGTGGGGTGGTGGGGACGGTGTCTTGTCGGCCATTGCTATGGAAGACGCGTGTTTGCAGAGTATAGCGACTTTGGTTTTAAACATTTTGTTCGTTTATTTTTATGCCAAATTTAGAAACACGATTATCGTTACATATCGAAATTGGATCATAATTCATCATTGCTTCTTTTGTAAAAATTATTATCGATTATTTTTCTCACAATATTTTTGAGCTATATGTTTTTTCTTTTCATTATTATTATTATTATTATTTGCACTAGATTTTCCATATATCAATTAAATGCATACTACAAATGAATCATAAATATGTATGGACAGCGGACATGGAACGCTTTTCTTAGCCCATGCTTGATTAATTTATAATTTAATTACAATGTACTATTTTAATATTAATTATTATATCAAAGCTTTAATATTAGAATGTACGACAAATTAAGAAAATTTACAAAGATATTATCGGTTATTGTCTTATAATACTAATAGAATGATATTTGAATAAAAAAATTATACAAATATAAAAATATTTTTAATGTTATATACAATAATACAAAAAGTAAATGTGAACATTAGAGTAAAATAATATATTTTCCATATGTTTCAAGTATATATATATATATTTTAATTTAAAATATTATATTTTTATTGTTAGGACCCAAAAAATACAAATAGAGGGGAAAAAATGATAAATTTAGTCCAATTTGGTGATGATCGACCCAAAAGGAAAAACTCAAATTCTCTGGAGGAGAACTTGAAGGGAATATATGGAGGATTTAAAAATAAAAAAAATTATTGAAAGAGTTGAAGATGAGAGCTACAAAAGTTAAGAATCATTAATTAAAAACATTCATGGAGTTTGGGAAAATTTTTGTTGCAAGTGGCTGTTATAAGTGTTGGAGGCCTAACTTAATGAGTTCTTTATTATATATATATATTAAAAGTTGGTCTATTTTTTAATTTGGTTCTAACTTTTTAACCCAAATCCTTTTAACTCAAACTCATTTAGCCTAAGCCCATTCATTTTATTAGTGAATAATTATAATTGTGTCAGTATAGTTTTGTTTTTTTTTTTTTTTTTTTTTTTTTTTTTTTTTTTTTTTTTTTTCTTCGAGTTTTTAGACTAGAATGATAAGTTTACAGGTTTTTCAAAGTTTTCAAAAAATTATTAGAATTCAAGTTCTTCTTCAAACTACTTATGAAGAAAGCTGGTCGGAAGAATATGTAAAGGATTTCTAAAATTCACAAGAAAGTCTTTGTATATATTGTCTGGGACAAACGATTCAGGAATTATTGAAAGCTCTGACAAATGACTTAGCCGAGCGATTTCCGACGAATGACCGGCGGCGGCTTCCAATTGCAGAGACGAACAGTGGCAGGACAATTTCGAGCAGATCCGGTGGACAATTCAATTGTCTTTTCCGACGACTCGACAGAAGCGCGTCTCTTTGGTGTCAGCTCCGATCTCCCCCGAACACCGCAACTCCGGTCAAAAACACAACCGGGGACTCCGAATGAAACAATGACAATACTTCCGATCTTTTTACCGATCTTCTTCCTCCGGCAATAAGGATTTTGAATTAAGGCTCAACCCATGATGCGAGAATCAGCACAAAATATGGTAACCTATTTCGTTCCGAGTGTATAAACGCTATTATGGAGATGATTTAGGTAGGAGAGGCGATTGAGCTGCCTTTCTATTTCAATTTTGTTTTAGCACATGTTTTTAATACTCCTTCCCTCCCATAGTAACTTTTGTTTTTTGTACGTAAATTTTTTAATATTAATATTATATTATGTTATAGTAGAAAAAACGAAAATAATTTATTAGTATTGTGTAATATAAATGTTAGGTAGATAGTATAATTACTAAATTAGGAAATGATACCCTTGTTTTGGGATGAACGAAAATAAAAAATGAAACCCTTCTTATGAGACAGAGGGAATATTCAAATTCTATTTTCCCTCAAAAAATATCACATCAAACAATCACTCTCTTTTTTATATTATACTACAAATTTATTTTATATTCAAAACATCACATCAACGTCTATTTATTCACATCAAACAACTATTCAAATTCAACTTTTTACTATTAAAAATCCAAACCTAAAAATAAAACCCACAAACAAACACACCTATAGTGTTTAAGGATTCTACTATATTGTTCAGTGATAATTGTGAGAATAGTTGACTTAATAAAGATCAATACGAATGAATTTGACATAATATTAGAAATGACACAAATCATCTGTAGAAGTAAGATTATTTATTTCTACCTCATATTAAAAAATATATATATTTCTTTATCCAATAAAATATTGAGAATAAAATAAAATGACATAACTGTTTATTATCATAGCACAAGCAAAAAAAAACAATAAAAAAAAAATAGTGCAATAACATATATCTTGCATGTGTAGTAGAAGTGAAAGAGCATAAACAACTTAAGGAGTTATATTATAAAAACTTTTCTAAAAGTATTTTCTAATGAATTACCTAGACCTCCCGCGGATAGAAAATTCAAATTTAAAATTAATCTCATACATGGTACTGTTTAATATCAAAAGTTATTTATAGAATAACTTCTTCAAAGGTGAAAACATTGAAAAATATATTTCCAAGAGCTTTTGAACATTAAACTAACAAGGTTGAGTGTGTCACATTGTGTAACATCTATTCTATTTTTGAATTTAATTCTACATTTATGTATATATGCACTTGATTCATTCTAGAAATTACACTAATTTCAATAGTGTAAAAAAATCTACAATACTCACATATGTAATTACATTGATAAGGAAAATCAAGAATTTATTCAAAATTAATTAGATAGAAAGCTCCCAATAATGCGTAGCCCCGTTGTCAGGAAAGAAATTACAAGCAACAAAATATCACTTGTACAATGAAAAACACATAATTTACCCAAGCACACCTTATCGATTCTTCATTCCTAAATTACCTCTATTGAATCCGCACTCTAATTCTTCGATGGCATAAATTTTAACAAATTTATTATTCAATTGTTTCCACGTTCCATGTGTTGGGTACTGATGCTTTCAATCGAAGCACTTTCATGGTGTTGACAACTTTCTTCTTTAATGCATCTGGATATTCGATGAGGTGAAACACTTCAGTTTGGTCCATCTCCAATAACATACCGATTACTTTTTTCGCATAATTGGGCTCAAGGCGTTCAATGAGCGAGTAGAGGTGTTCGCCAAACATATGTAGATAATGCAATATCTTTAGTCAAGTGGTATCTTTAGTCAAGTTTTTTAGCAATGATTGATGCTAATTTGATAGTTAAACTAGTCATGCACTGGTTCTATGGAGAAGTAAAGACCAAAGTGAAGCAAGTATAACAATTTTCATAGCAGCCAATGCATTGAGAGGTAAAGGCACGACCGGTTCCATGAAATTCTGGATAGGTAACCAATGATTAACTTCATTGTATTGGTTCACCGTATATTGATTAAAATCTTGATTCGAGTTGCGCCAAATCACATAAATTAAAAGTAGTAAATTGAATTGCTAATACTTTCGTCTAGAAATTGAAAAAATAGAGAAAAACATTTAGGCCAAGACAAACCTGCTGTTGTTGCTATAGATAATTGTAATTTTTTCATGGGACGGAAAGTTGTTATCCTTCAAGTTGATTTTGTCGTTGAAGATGGAATGACACAAAATTTGATGAAATACTAGGTTGCAATCCGACTAATAATTGTTGTTGATAAAATCCAAATGCATGATTGACTTGTCCAATGTAAAACGGTTGAGGTTAGAACCAAGGCGAACTTGTTTGATAAATATGAATTTCTATAAATGGTGAAATTGTCCCGTGGGCTCGTATTTATTCAAAATATTCTAGAACCAAAAGAATATTAGTATGAAGTATAAAGACTTGATAAATAGTACACCAAAACATCTAAACTTCTTTCAACATATTATTTTAGACATATGAATATTTTTCCATAATAATCCAACAAATATAGGGTTACTATATTTGAAAAACTAATGTTACGAACTATCTACATCAATAGATCATAGGTAAAAATTAAAATTGTTCGTAATTATATTATATAATTGTCACATTTAACAACTATTTTTCATTAAATTATTACATCTAATGACTGTTTGCACTTGTTAGAGTTTCAAAATAAAAAATTACACAAAATACATTAATTATAAATAGACATACATATAGTATTAATTCTATCTATAGACAAGATAAGAAACTCAGGTCACATATTAGAATCAAAGGAAATTAAGCATCAGTGTCTATTTCTTTCATCTATTATTCGTTAGAATAATGAATGATTGTTGTTAATATTGAAAGAAAAAACCAATACATCACTTGGAACCATACATTTCTTTCTTCTTTGTGCTGAACTACAATTACATATAAAGATTTTCTCACTACCATTTTCACATTCATGCAATTCAGTTGCGAATAAAAAATAATTAATAAATATATTCCAAATTTTTTTCAATCAACAAAAATACATAATTAACAAATCTATCTTACAATTTTCAGGATTAGAGAATACCATAAAACCAACATTTTTGTTTACTCCATTACCGTCACACATAATGTGGAAAAGTAAATTAAATTTGAGTGTCATTACAAGAAGAGAAAAATCATAATGTATTCAAACATTTTTTATAAATATATTACATGATTAATGGTTCTAAACTTCGAAAAAAAAACTTCAAATTTTCATGGATTATACTCTCATTTAGATTTTAAAGAACAAATTTATATCTTTTAACTCATCAAATCTATTATTCATTTTTCGTTCAAATTTAGCCTTCAAGTTTGTTTTTTTTTTTTTCAAATTTGTTCTCAGCCCTTCCAACGTATTGTACGCTATCAACTAAGGAGATTTCATTTAATTCTCAACTGCAGCAGTTGCATCGTTATTATTTTCATAATTGACAAAACCCAACAATTTGGATTTTTTATTGATGTATTTCATAATAACTACGCTAGTGATTGGACTAAACATTTTGAACATTTCCATAAGATCATTATCCGTTACATTTTTAAAATAATTCATTACATAAATATTAGTAAATTTGAGTAATCTTTTCTTCTTAATCATTTGTTTGCTACGAATAAACTTTTCAACATACATTTGCTTGTCATTTATCAGCATGTCATTCAATCTTTTATTGCAATTTATGCATGTTCTCTTTTATCCAACTGAACAAATCCAAATCCTTTGGATCTTTCATTGGGGTAAATAAGATATATTTCTAAATGTAGATAATGTTTCATGAATTGTCCAAGTGTATATCAACAAATTCAATTCTTTTATATCTAAATTTACAATTTCACTTTTTCTTTGAGCAGGATCTCTTTTATATAATACAATTATAATAAATTTTTCATTCATAGCCGTGAAATTTAAAGCATCTCTCGTTTGATAAGCTGTAGAAAATCATACAAAAAATTACGAACATTTTTATAATCAAATTTTTTAAATTAAACAAAAAGAGATGAAAGTGAATTCTTAACCAAAATAATTAAATTAGAAAAATTTTCATATAAAACTGTAATTAATCAGTCCCCATTATAAGAAGAAAATATATCCTTATCGAAACATTAAAACTCTTCATGAAAACAATTAAAATGGATAAAACTATTGATTTAAATAATTAGAAGTGTTAAAATATTTTGCTGAAACTCTAAAGCTTGCATTATTGATAATCAAAATAAGAGACCTATATATAGGCAACTTAAAACAGACTCGATAGACTCAAATCTAAATAACGTAATCTAATGGATATGACCAAATTTAAATCTAACAAATCTAAAACTAAATATCGAAAATATCTCGACAAGAAGTACGTATTTAACATCGAATAATTGTAAATTGCAATATCAATTTCTTTGAAATCACAATCTTTCGGAAAAAAAAAATGACATAATATTATTTGCATGCGATCACATAGAACATAAATAAAAAAACTAAACATGATTAATCTGTAAAGAAAAACATAATAATAATAATAATAATAATAATAATAATAATAATAATAATAATAACCAAAATTAGTTGAAGAAAATTATCATTCATAGGATTGTTAAAGTTAACGTAATCATAGCCAAGCGAGAAGATGTGCATTTGATCTCTACAAACCCCAATAGACACCACAAGAACCACTCGATTAAACAGATCTTACAATTTGCTCTCGTCTATGGATTCCTCTAAATCTCTAAATCATCGATATAAAGAGACGAGTTTGGAAATGCTTCTCTTTATATCAATGATGGCTCAAAACATGAATGGCCGCCATCAACACCAAATTCGTCTCCGACATGATCTCCGTCTGATGAACCGTCATTGTTGTCATTCAAATTCTCAGGAAAACTATGAAAGAACAATCAACAATCAAAATTGTCAAAATGAACTATGCATATTTGAATCTCTCGTCATTTTCGGAAAGAAAGAAATAATTATATACGATAAAGTGATGTATTATTATAAATAGTTGATAGGAAATTACTGAGTGATACAATATTTTCAAATTTGTGTTTTTAAAAATTGTACCATGTGCTCTACAGTTAGAATGTTGGATGTAACGTTGACGATTATACTCTTTTTTTATATATGCATTTTATGTTAAGTATGAAAATTTATGTTAATAATAAAAAAAATAATATTTTATGTTGAATGATTGATTTTTTTTTTTGTAAAGAAAAACAATATTCCAAATTTCAATTAATTTAACATTATACATAATATATATAAGTTTTATAAAAGGAAATAAATCTAATTTTAATTATGTAGATAATATATATAATTTAATTTTACTTAAGTTATTTCATTTATATAAAAATAAATCAAGCTGGTCTAGAATAATAAACCTTAAATTTATTTGGTTCGAGAAAAAATTAGAGAAAAAAAATGAATGAACATACGTATGTATATGATTAAAACAAGTTCTTGACTATATTTTGGATGAATTATTGTCTTTTTTGTAATGCAAGACTTTTGATGAAACTTATAATTAGCATGTGTGCTACTTATGTTTAAAAACAAATGATTACGATGATTATTCATTTTATTTGATAAAAGATCTAATTCAATTTTTTATAATGAATACAAAATACAGTACGATAGTCATTGTCTTGTTTCTATTTTTCATTGGATAATTTGCCCCTTAAAAAATATTTGTGCCGACAACTATCGTATAGTAAATAATATCGAGATTGTATTTACAAAACTATGTGAAATATTTTTTGTATCGTCACAAATCAAATATAGGGGGAGGGAATTAGAAAGATTAATTAAAAATAAAACCAAAAAACACTAGGTAATTAAAATACTACCTCCATCCTAAAAGTATAGTATTAACTGTGTTGGACACGAGATTTAAGAAATATTGATATTATATTGATAGTGGTAAAAAGTAAGGATAAATGACTTTTTTGCCCCTGCGACTACATTAGTGTAAAAAGTATTGGCAATTGTGTAATAATAATGAAAAAATATGGATAGTTTTATGGTGATATGATTATTTATAGAAATGAGACTATTGTTTTAGAACGGACAAAAGTGGTAAACAAGACTATTATATTGGGACGGAGGGAGTATAACTCAAGCAAGAAAAAAAAAAAATTCTCTAACCTAAGAAATGAATAAGAAATCATATTAAGAGTTCGATTATTGGTTTTAAATAATCTCGTTGATCAATTAATAAATTATTTATAAGCATTAGCTACGATCAAAACACCCAATTTTTTATTACTTTGTTGATGGTAATAATACAACCGATTAATATCATCTCCAATTTAAAATTTATAGTAGATACAATTATAGAATAATTTTTTCAATTGGATTTAGCACAAGAAAAATCAATTCAAATATTCAATTAATTACGAAAATTTTTTATATTAACTTATACAATTTTTAGGCCAAACTTGTTAACCTATACATCATTTCATCAAATAAATACAAAATTACGGATACAAATATTCGATTGGCTCATATATTTTATTACTTTTTCTTATACATGTATAATATCAAAGATAAAAAAGTAATAAAATATATACTCATATTAAAATTGTGCTTAAAAAGTTGAGCATATTTTAATTATGATAAGAAGATCATTTACTTTTAAAGTTTTGATTTTAGATTTTAATTTTGAATTAAAATAATTATTTAATGTGATATAAATATTTATTAATGTGATATTTTGATGTATAAAATAAATTTTTGTGTAATGATAAATAATAATTAAATATTTGTTTGATTATTTGGGGTGGAAAAATTTGAATATTAAGTAAACACTGTTGGATTTGTGAAAACAAATTTACTTGTGCAATTTTGATTTTGCTTTTATTATTTCAAAAAAAAAATTCACCCCAAAAATGTCAAATTGAATACATAATTTTTATTTATTATATTACACAAAAAAATTTATTTTACATTCAAAATATCACATCAAACGTATTAATATTACATCAAATAATTATATCAATTAAAAATTATACTAATTAAAACCAAAACCCCACAAATAAATACACTTTTTCCAAAAAATTTAATATATTTGTTATATATTTTGCCCGTGATTATTGAGGCCTAGAATGCACACAACCGACCCGTCCAAATTGAAGTCCGGACCCGGCAACCCACTATCCGACCCAATCTCTGAGAGACCCGTCGGTTTATGGCTGAACCGGGCTGAACCGGTCTGAACCGGGTCTGCTTCATATATATATATATATATATATAAAGCAGCTCTTAAACCGATCCGGCCCTTAATTCGATTCATTCAGAGAACAATACAGAACAGAACCTTCTCGCGATTCTTCTCTCGTGCCCTAGGCGATTCCTTTGTCGTCGCGTCGCGCCTACCTTCACCGGTGAATCTGTCCGGCGAGTTGGGAGTTCCTCTTCCCTGTTGATGCGCGCCTCTTCCCTCGGTGTTTCTACGGTTTGGTTTGCTCGATTTATGCCTTATTTTGTTCGCGGTGTAACTTGTCTGCAATGTGAGTTTAGGCTTAATTTCGGAAATGTTTCCTTAGATTGGGTTTCGGTTTAGCGTGTTTGTTGCGTTTCCGTGGCGTGTCATTTGTGGTTGGGTCTTGGATGTGTGTTCGGTGTCGATTGGTTTGATATTAGGGTAAATGAACTGTTGCTTACGTAATAAATCAAAGTTTTCTTTTAAGTTTTCTTTGATGTTGATTTGATATCGAGATAATATAGATCTTGGATTAGTAATAACAATATTTCACATACTTATTAATTTTATATTACCTACACAATTTTTCATATTTTACACAAAAATAAAAAAAAATGAAAAAAGAAAATACCCCTTCAAATTATTTCAAACCCACCCCTTAATGGATATAAAGATTATTATGTCCAAATAGAGTCTATTGGTATCAAAGCATTTATTCATTTGAATAAATTCAAGACTTTCATGTACATACAGTATGTATTATAGTATTTATTACAATTAAGCTAGTAGTTCATAAGTTTAAATTTCTGAATTTTTATATCATAATATATATAGTTAAACATATGTTAAAATGAAATAATAATATCTAAATTGATATGTTGTCAACTTTTTTAGTTTCAAGATTTTTTTCAATGTGTTTATTTTATTATTATTATATATTATTTATATAAAAATACAATAAAATACTATAATATATTATAAATATATTATTTTTATAAAATAAACTTTACTAAAGCTTTTGCCCTAATCACACATCCACATCCTCAGCCGCCGCTTGCAGATCAAGTTTTTTGAATTTGTTTACGCAACACAACTTTATTTATTTGACATTATTTATTTTTTAAAAAATATCAAATAAAATATATTTTTTATTGCATAAAATATCAAATTAAATATTAATTTTTATTTTTTATTTTTATTTCAAACTTCTAAATTCTAAAACTCTGTCTAAACAAACACTTCCTTTCTCTTCTTCTTCTACTCCGATTCAATTTTTTTCTTTCTTTTCTTTAAAAATTAAAAATAGCTACACCGTCGGTTCGAGCTGACGGTTTATGGTTCGGAAATACCGGGCAAAAACCGGTTTTGATTTCGGTTCGATAGAACCGGCGGTTGGGCAAGTCTAGTTTCTTTTGTGTTTTTTTTAAACAAACGTGGTCATTTCAGCCCATCTTCAAATTCCATCCGTCACCGTGCGCACTGCCGATTTTCAGATCAGACCTTCTCGACGGAGAAAAGAATTAACACGAGCTTGCTGCGGCTCCTTAAATTATTAATCATGGCGAGTCTTGGTCGATTAAGGTCGATTTCGAGAAGCCTTACGATGCTGTCATCGGCACCTTTGCGCATTTGTGTTGTTGGTAGCGGGCCTGCGGGATTTTATACAGCTGAAAAGGTGGGGCTAGGATATGTTGGATTCGGTTGTTTTGAAATTTAATTTTCGATTCTCTTGTTGGTTTGCACACTTGTTGAATATTAGTTCAAGTGACTCAAGCATATGATATCCTGAATCGTCTGATGAGTAATTTCTTGTAACTTTGCTAGCTTCTGAAGACGCACGAAAGTGTACAAGTTGATATAATTGATCGGTTGCCTACGCCCTTTGGTTTAGTGCGGTCTGGTGTTGCGCCTGATCATCCAGAAACGAAGGTTCTTTATTTATTGTATTTAAACGATTTATGGTTATTGAAGTAATATTTTTAATTTGTTCATAGGTAATATAGCTTTTGAAGTAATTTTAAATGAACTTTCTATTTAGTACGATTTGTTGTGCATTTTAGTTCTAGCTGAAATCATAGTTTGAAGTTATATAAAATTTGTTTTGGACAAAGAATTGTGTTTTTTAAGGGATCTGAAAGTAGATGGAAGAATTTGTTACCAATGAACAAACATCGAAAAGTGCTTTGCTTTTTAAAATTTTGCAAGCAATGGCTTGATATCTTTGACAAGCTAACTTTGGTTGTTAGAGATTGACTTTATAAGGGTTGAGTGGAATATATGTCCTCGAACTATATTGGTTTTACGTTTAATGACCTTCGATTTCTGGCGATTATATGATTCATTTAGCATGTTCTTAATTGCGAATAAGAAATGAAGACAGAACATGGGATATTAAAGAATCTTTTTTATTTATTTTTTCAAATATGGAAATCTTTTTGCCCTTTCTTAATTTTGTGATCATATTTACTCTCTTAATCTTGTAACAGGTAGTGATTAATCAATTTTCTCGGGTTGCTCGTAATGAACGATGCTCATTTCTTGGGAATATATCTGTGGGATCCTCCGTAACTTTACGTGAACTACGGGAGATTTATAATGCCGTAAGATACTGGCTTTGGAAACAATGATTGACTAATGCAGCTATTTCCTTTCTTTTTTTGTGTGTGCTTTATAGTTTATACATGTAACAATTAAAATGTCTATTGTGGCAGGTGGTGCTTGCCTATGGTGCAGAAAGTGACAGATCTCTTGGCATACCTGGGGAGGTTTGTATTTCTCTTTTTCCCTTTGTATTAAGATGTGCCGTTTCCTTCATTCTGATTATACTTTATTGTTGATTTTCCTTTGCATGTTGTTTGATGCAGAATTTGGGTGGTGCATACGCTGCTAGAGAGTTTGTTTGGTGGTATAATGGCCATCCCGACTGCAGGTATCTTAACCCAGACTTGAAAAGTACTGATACGGCTGTAGTTCTGGGTCAGGTATCATATTCTTTTCATGTTTATTGTTGTGATAGTCTGGAATTAAAACAAATGGCGCTTAAATCTTCAGGTTTATTGAAACTTTCATTTAACAACAGTTGACAGTAGTATAATGGCATCCACTTGTTTTTAGGGTAATGTGGCTCTTGATGTTGCACGAATTCTTTTAAGACCCACTGAGGAACTGGCAAGAACAGACATTGCCACCCATGCATTAGCTGCTTTAGAGGATAGCTCGATTAGGTATGAGATCCATACTTACATTGTTTTGAAACTAAAATCTGACTGTCTTCAGATTTACAATGTGTTAACAAGTGCTTCTGACAGAAAAGTTTATTTGGTTGGAAGACGTGGACCGGTACAGGCGGCCTGTACTGCAAAAGAACTACGAGAAATTTTGGGTAACAATTATGCCCTTTTCAATATGTTATCATATCTTGTCTATTTTGGATTTGGATTTGTCATACTTGAGTATAAGTTGAATGGACTTAGTTTAATAAAATTAAGTAATTGATGTACTACCAGGGATTAAGAATTTGAGCATCCATATCCCACAAGCAGATCTTGTCACTACTCCTGCTGATGAGGTAGATTTTATTGTGACATTCATATAATGTTGTCTTCATTCTGTAGTCCCATTTTCTAAAATAATATTTTAAAGTATCATTAGGACCTTATGTGTTGTTCTTTACTTGACTGTGGCAAAGATAGAAATGAAGAATAGCAGGATCAGGAAGCGGGTGTATGAATTGCTCTCTAAGGCTGCTACAGCCAGGACTGCTTCGGTACCCGGTCAGCGTGAACTTCACTTTGTATTCTTCCGCAAGCCAGACAGTTTTTTTGAGTCGGATCATAAGAATGGTCATCTTGGTGGGGTTCGCCTTGAGAAGACTATACTTAAAGGTAATTGCGTTCCTTAATGTTCATCTTCTATGGAGCCATTTGTTATCAGATTTAATTGATGTTCCATTGGTAATTTTACTTATTCCATGTGCTCTGTGTTATCTGCTTTGTAGGCATTAAGTCATGTGATGTGTAGGTGATTTTTCATTCTTGTACTTAATAGAAAACATGTAACTTCTTATTTGAATAAGGATAATATAAGAAATGCAAGGACTTCCATTAATGTTTAATGCTCATTTAACAGGCTTTTCTTAATGATGATAACGGAGCCAAGTTTCTAAAATTTGAACAGACCTGATAGGATGTGTTAACTTGTATCTTTTTTTCTTTTTAGGTGAAATAGTTTGACGTTTTATATGAAATTTTGGTGTTGGATATGATGCTTTGAATGAAATATCGATAGAATTAGCTTTTAGTGAAGACAAGCAATAAAAAATTGGCAATATGAATCTTAACATGACCTGGTTTTCATCTTATAATCAGTTTCCTCTTATTGATGGATTTATTAATGTGAATATCTATTGCAGTCACATATCCCTGTTGTATCTGTTGACTTTTGCTAAAATTTCATTCCTTCCTATAGGAGATGCTAAATCATCGAACCAGGTTGCGTTTGGGACTGGGGAGTATGAAGACTTAAACTGTGGGTAAGTTTTCCAAAATTTAGCAATTAGCATACACTATGAATGCAGATTATTTCATTTCTTTTTAATTTCTTCTCAAATCTCAGTTTTGCTTTAATGCATTCTGCTTCAAATTAATTCTTTCGATTGATATGTAAACCTCTAAAATATCTCAACTACTTAAGTTGATAGATTTCACTGCCATTCACAGCTTAGCGCTGAAGAGCATTGGTTACAAATCCATAGGTGTCGATGGTCTGCCCTTTGATAACAGGAAAGGTATGTTTTTGGCTTGCAACACTGAGGTAGACATTTGACCATTCTAGTCATTCTGCTAAACAAGTTCTATTGTGTTTTTCTTCTTTAACATTGAAATTGAAATAGCTTGGTCATAACTGCAAATATCTTAGCAGCCACAGAAAATTGTTCTTCATTTCTATGTTACTTGTTGAAGTTTGAGGTTTTATGTGCAAGTGAAACAGTTTATTCTTTCCAGGAATTGTTCCAAATGAAGGAGGCCGTGTATTAGCTGATCCAGAAAATGACACGACGTACGAACCAGGCTTATATGTGTGTGGATGGTTGAAGAGAGGACCAACTGGAATTATTGGTACAAACATTTATTGTGCCGAAGAAACTGTAAGTGCACAAACTTGTATTTCCATTTATGCTAATTTAAATCTATGAATATTTTCGAGTGAGCCAGAAAAATATTAATAACAATGTAAGTAGTAAATGAAATTAAACCAGCGACTGATTTGGATAGAGGCTTATTGCTCCTTAAAACAACTTTAAGATATTCGACATTCTTAAGAAATTTTTATTATAAGATTGAGTTTGCATAGATTAACCAAAAACTGGTTGCAGCTTGCATGCATCTCAGACGACATTGTGAAAGGAGTATTAACATCCAAACAGCAAAAACCGGGAAGGCAAGGACTTATGGAATTATTAGACAGTAGGAACAACAAAGTTGTGCCTTTTGATTCATGGGAAAAGATCGATCTTGAAGAGAGAAGGCGTGGGGATTTGAAGAACAAACCCAGAGAAAAGCTTGTGACATGGGAAGAGCTACTGAATGTTGCCATTGCATAAGGCAGCTTCATTCGTAAAAAGTTAAAGCGGAACCCCAAGCAGAATTTTCACGGAACTGGATGGACAAGATTTTGATTGAATATCGTGGTCAGGTTAGTTTCTAATTTTACGCCACAAGTATTGTTTTGGGTTTTAGCGGTTCTCCATGTTTGAATTAATGCACATGTTAGGTGAAAATTCACGATGAAAACCATTGTGTTTATTATTATAGCCCGGTCTATGATAGCTAAACTTTAGCCTTTTGACTCATTGGTTATAGATGTTTTCGTAATAGAGATGAACCTACATGACGAATTTTATGCACAATTAATTTGAATGTGATGTTACCATTTACTTTTATTGCTATTGTTCAGGTTGTTGTGCGCGTGCTTAAGTAACTCAATAATATCGTGATTCTTTTTCTTTTTTTTTATCGGAATATTATCGTGTTACTTTCACTGCATTCATTTCATATGCTTGCTCACTCGATGTTTTACTCTGTGCTATGAAAAATTATAAATTAGAAAATTTAAGATGTGTAATTCCTTTTCAGAAGAAATAAGACCTGAAATGTTGGACGTTCTAAAATTCAGCTACATGGACAGGACAAAGGAAGTATATAGTATTGGTAGTGAAGTTTAGGTATGTAATTCTTTTTTAGGATTATATATACGCGGATTGGCGCGAGTTCGATACGATAATAAACGAGTCAGATTAAAGTTAAGGCATTCAATTCTAGCTACATGACATTCTAATTATAATATATTAATTAATATCCGCAACATTAAAAATATCTCTATATTTGTATAATTTTTTGTACAAATATTATTATATTAGTATTACTTATGATAAATATATATGGTGTGAATTTGTTTAGTTATTATCGTTTCCGGTAGTATTATGAGCTTTTTTATTTGTCTTTTATAATAAAAATATTACTATTTAGTTTCTCAATACAAATACATTATTTTTTTACAAAATATTAAATTTAAATTTAAATAAAAAAATTCAAATCAAAATCAAACAATCCCTTTAGAAAATGATGTTTTGGGTCTGTATACTATTTTTTTTTTTTAACAAATATTATATTAAAATATTTTTAAATTTAAATTCCAAAAAAAAAAAAAAAAACTAAAATCAAACAATCCCTCTAGGAAATGACTATGATTAATCTTTGTATTTGTAATGCAATGTGATGTAATATGTTTTGGGTGTGATTGTATTTGTATGGCAGTTTGATGTAATACTTCATACAAGAAAAGTAGTTTATTTTTTTTAAGAATATGAAACTACATATTCACGAAAAAAAAAAAAAAAGAAACTGATGAGTTTTGTTTTTTAATTATTTTTATTTAATATCTCGAATTTTTTCTTTAAAAAAAATGTGTTTGTTTGTTTATGATTTTAAACACAAGTTTACAATATTTAATAAAAATACATTATTTTTATCATAAAATATCACATAAAAATATTATTTAAATAAACTTCAAATCAATATTTTATTTCAAATTAATTTCACCTCAAACCCAAACATTTATTTTTTATCATTTATATTGTACTCCCTCCCTCTATTTTCTAATGTCCTAAGTGATATTTACACGATAATTAGTTTTTTGGTTGTAAATTGACCAAAAAACCCTTTATTTTGTGTATAGATATAAAAAGATAAATAAAGTAAATGTAAAAAGGTAAATTCTATGTATAAAAATAGAAAGAGGACAATTATTTTTGGACGTTCTAAATAACAAAGTAGGACATTAGTTTGTGTATCGATGGAGTACTAAAAACCATTTTATATTCAAAATATCACATTAATACTTATTTATATTACACCATACAATTATTTTAATTCAAAATTTTTATTATTCAAACTCCCTGAAACAAACACACCCTATACAACCCTAAAAGATGGATAATTAACCCACTTTCCGATTATGTAAAATAAAAAATTGTGTCCAGTACGCACTTTCGGGTAACGATTGCAGATCTCTCGTGTTATTAAAAATAATAGTAATAATAATTAAATAAGCAATTGTGCAATGGACATTAGTTTATGTTATCCCTAAGATAATTAAATTTGTCCAACTAAGTGGAATCCTAATTGAATAATAGCATAAAAGTACTATTAACCAATATTAAATGAACTTTAACAAATTTGAAATTGATGAAAATACAAGCCACCCTTTAATTTTTTTTAATTTTATTTCGGTTATTATAACTTTATGGATCAGATTATATATAAACACCGCCCTTAAATATTTAATTAGTAAATGATTTTGTGAGCTTGTAATATTTAATTAAATGATTTGTGACTACATCAGTTTGTAATTTATTGCTCTTCAATTTATTACACTAAATGGAACCGACAATTAGGTTTCATGTTTTTAATATGACAAAACCGATATAAATATATATATATATATAAATCATTTTTGTCACAATATAACTAAAATTTATCAATTTTGATCTTAATATAAAAATTTTATCAGTTTTGGTCTCAATATAACCAAAACTCATCATTTTTGGTCTCAATATAACCAAAACTATCATTCTTGGTCTAAATATAAATTTTTTATCAATTTTAGTCCCAATATAACCAAAATTTATTATTTTTTATCCCAATATAATTAAACCTTATCTCTTTTGGTTCTCTCGTCAACAAACCGACGGAAAATGCTGACATAGACTTGCAAAATTGTGCAATTTTTTTAAATATAAATATAAGGTTTGATTTTTTTTTACGTCAGCATTTTCCGTCGATTTGTTGACGATGTGACCAAAAAAGATAAAGTTTGATTATATTGGGATAAAAAATAATGAGTTTTTGTTATATTGGGACTAAAATTGATAAAATTTTTATATTGTGACAAAAAATGATGAGTTTTGGTTATATTATGACAAAAAATGATGAGTTTTTGTTATATTGAGACCAAAATTGATAAGATTTTTATATTTGGACCAAAATTGATGAATTTTGGTTATATTGAGACTAAAAATAATTTTTTCCCATATATATATATACTCACTCTGTCCACCACAATTGACACTATTTTCATTTTTGTCTGTCCCGTTACAATTGACATATTTCTTTTTTTAGTAAAAATTATTAAATCAAAACATATTTAATAAATATAAATCAACTTAATTAACTACGTAACATACAACATCATAAATGACATAGGACCCACTCAAAACCGCTTTAATCCTATTTTTCTTTTTAAAAAAATAAATATTTTTATCTATATTTAAAACTACATATCTTTATAAAATTGATTTATGTTAATTATAAATAAACAATTTTTTTTTATTTATTTACTTGTATTACAAAAAATTTTATTCTCTATAAAATAATATTCATATTGCATATATTTTTTAATTGCTATATAATTTTTAAATATTTAAATATATATTTTAAAACTATAAATATTGGAGTATTAATTATACAAAAAAAATAATACGATAATATCATAACTAATTATTATTAACTAATTAAATATTATTACCTCAAATACCGTGTCCCTAATCAAAAGGTTCAATTTAGGTGGGACGAAAGGAGTATATAAAACCATAATCATATACATTCAAATAATATAATATATATTGTATTATGTGAATATATATATATATTGTTTTGTCGTATTTAAATATGTATGGTATGAACATATATAATATGTTGAAATTAATTGCAATATTATTATATTAATATAAATAATGTATTATCTATTATAATATTATGTATTGTCTACTATAATGTCACTTATTGTCAGTAATATAAGTAACTGTAGCCTTAAAATTTTGTATTAATAATTAATTTGTTAAACAATTCGTCATTCGAATACTAGTTATTTTTTCTTTTAAATCTTTTTAGAAAATAATATTTAATTAGTTAATAATAGTAAATTATGATAATATTATTATTTTTTTATGTAATTAATTATATTGATGATTTTAAAATAAATTTAATATATATAATTAAAAAATTAGAATATATATTTAAATATTTTAAATATTATATCATAATAAAAATATATATGCAATATGTATATCATTTTATAGAGAATAAGAACGTGTTTGTTTTGTTTTTTGGTTTGAAGAATTTTATTAAATAAATAAAAAATATGTTTGTTTATTTATAATTAACGTAAACTGATTTTATAAATGATGTGGAATTTTAAATGTAAATAATAATATTTATTTTTTTGAAAATGGATAGAAATAAAATTATTTAAGTAGATCATACATGATGTATAATATTATATATTATATAGTTAATCAAATTGATTTATATTTGTTAAGTGTATTATAGACAAAAATGAAAAATATGCCAATTAATATTCATTTTAATACAATATTAAAAAATAATAGAACATACATACAAATTAGATTTGTTTACTTTATATTTTTTGGTGAAACAATTATCCATTAATATTATAAAATAATTTAAAAAATATACAATTTACAGACATTAACACAATATTTACATATATATATATATTATTCATTCATAAAAAATTCAATAATTCAATACAAAATAATTTATTAAAATGTAAAATAATATATGATAAAATATTTTGTGAGATAAAAATATATATATATATATTTTTGAAAAAATGCAAAATTTAGATAGTAAAAACTTAGGTAAAGAAACAAACCCCTAAGTATTGAAAATTACGAACAAATAAAAAAACACTCTAAGTTGAATTTAATAATACTAAAATATTAAGTAAATGGGTAGTTTTGTTATTATTTTTAAATAATAATAATAATAATAATAATAATAATAAAATTACTCAATTACAAAATGACCTCTAAAATTCAAGTAAAAAATAAAAAACTCATCTAAACAAATTTTAATTTGCTTGGGTGTGTTTCAATATAATTTTTACTATTTATTTATAATATTTTTCTATCTCTTAATATCATAATATGTACTAGTATTATGTTGTTATTTAATACTTAATACAAAAATATTTTTTATTTAAAAAATTACATAGAATACCTATTTATATTACTACAATCATTTTAATACTACAAATTTGTAATAATAATAATATGTAACAAAAACACATATATTTCATTTGAGTTATCTTTTTTTTTTTTTTTTTCTGTTATCTTTTAGATGTTTAATTGGATTAATATTTTATATTAATAACAATAATATATTAATATTCTTTAAATTGGGTGTCACAAAAATTAGAAAATTTACATCCCAATTGATTTGGGACCGAAAAAGTATGGGTTTGTTCTTAGTGTTTTAGTTGAAGTATTTTTATGTTTTTTTATATATATGAAATATAATGAATTGTATGGATAACATAAAAAATAAAATTTTGTATTAAATATTAACTTTTTGTGAAAGAATATAATACTTTCTTCATCCTATTATAAAATTTTTATTTTTTTATTTTTGTTCGAATCAAATATCAATTTTATTTTTATTAGTAATTGTACGATCTACTTAACGTTACAAATATTCTTACAAATATCATTATTTTTATATCACACAATACTAATAAGATTATTTTAATTATTTATACTTTATTTCTATTACATATCAATATAATACTAATATACCTTAAACTCCGCAAAAGAAGCAAAGCGAATACTTACTTAAAAAAGAGGGAAGGGAATATATATTATAAATATTTAAATTCGTGTAAAAAAAATTATTGAACAAACAAACTCTACTCTATATGATTGTAATTGATTACTATATTACAAGATTAAAAAAATAATAATAAAACTATGCTTTTAAAAAAATGAAAATTGTCTAAAGAAAGATTAAAAAAATAATAATAAAACTATGCTTTAAAAAAAATAAAAATTGTCTAAAGAAAAACCGTCAGTCAAAATCACTTGTTACTTGTAGTAATTGAACGTGGCTTGATGTTCACGCTGGACACTTTTGATTATCAAATTTGAAAGCAAAATAAATAATGTTAAATATTCACTTATCAATATTTATTTTTTTTGTTTTTCAAACTGTAATATTTTTAAATTTATAAATAATTAATAATATTTATATATATATATATTAATATACATTTCATTTTATCCTATCACATCATTCAAATAAAAAAAACCAAATAATCATTCGTCTCTCCAATCACATCACTTAGTATTTAAATTATCTCAAATTATCATACTTAGTACTCCCTATTTAAATTCTCGTATCAAACACAAATGTTGCACGATGTTTGAGACGGAATGAGTATTATTTATTTTTTTAAAAATATCATGTTATTATTTACATTTATTTTTTCACAAAATATTAATTCAAATATCATTGTGATGTTTTGTGCATATTACACTTCGATCGATCCAACCTATCGAAACCCGGATCCTGTGCCCGCGATTCGACCCAATTGAGTGATGAATTGGATGATGGGTTCGTTTGGCCTGAACCGCCCTGGACTGCCCCGAACCGGTTTGGAGTTCATATAAATGATTGTTTCCCCGATTCGGTTGATAGCGTGATTCATTCTCTCATCCTTCACCCCGCGATACTCTCTGAAGCCCTAATATCCCTGACGCATTGCGATCAATATGTGCTTCTGTCTTTCCGGCGAGATTGGCCATGGAAGTTTGAGATTCGTCCCCCGTGGTTGTGATTCAGCCTGTTCTAAGGCTGTTCTTCAGTTTGATTTATCGATTCTGCCTTTTATGTACTGTTTGTTGTGTTATTTGGTTGTACGTGATGATTTAGGTTTAGAATCTTGAGATTTCTTTTGATTGGGGTTAGTTTCGCGCTGATTGTGCGTTACCGTGGATGTCGATATGGTTTGGGTCGTGAACTCAATTGGGTCGAACCGGTTTGGAACTTTGGATAACTGAGTCCGAACTCCTTCGATTTTGAAAGTATATAAAAGATTCGATGTTTCTTGTTTCGTATGTGTTCGATTAATTGTAAACTACAAGTATTAAGTCCTATTTTCGATTACAATTATTTTTTTAAAAAAATATAAAATAAAATGCTCAAAATTTTGTATCTAAATAATGCCCGCATGATTATGATTAGTCATGGAATCAATAAACCGCATTTATGGAGTATAGTGTGTGTGTTTTTTTTTTTGCCAAGTGTACTCTTGATGGATTTTTGATGTCCAAATGGAACGTTTGTCTAGATAGGAATATTCGGAGGTTTTTGGAAATTTAGAAGCTTAGAAATAATAAAAAATAAGTATTTAATTTGATAGTTTTGTGAGAGAAAAAATATATTTAATGTGATATTTTTTAAAAATAAATAGTGTCAAAATAATGAAATTATGCTGTATAAATAGAATCTAATATTTCAAATCATTTGCAAATAAAATAATATTGTAATAAAAAGTAAAATTAGCCCTCACAACGTGTCAATCCTTTATCGAAGGGGACAGAAGGATAGAGGGAATCAGGACAGACTATCCTCTTGTTTTTCTCATGCCTATTTTTATCTTGACTTTTGTTATTATGCAGCGGTGAATAATGTGTTTCTTTTATATTCCAAATCTTAAATTTTTATTATTTATACATTATTTTAATATTAAATTTGAATTAATTTTTAAAAATTTTATTTACAAAAAAACATAAATTTTTAACAAATTATTTTACTAAAAAAACTACTCATTCCGTCTCACTTATCATGTCCATGTTGCCGTTTCTATTCGTCCATGTCTCAAGTCACTTTCATTTTTTGGAAAATAATTATACATCTTAATTTTATTTTAAATTTTTTAATTTAATTTTTTAATTTTAATTAAACTAATTAGTTATCTTAATCTTAATTTCCTCTATAATTTGAGCGTGTTATTGTAGATACTGATGTAATTAGTAAATAATTAAAGAGTGTATTAGTAAAATAATTATTATATAGTTAAAATAATTATAAATTAAATTTAAGATAACTAAATAATTTAATTAAGATTAAAAAAAATTTAAAATAATATTAAAGTGTATAATTATATTTTCAGAAAAATTAAAGAACAAATTATGTGGGAGTAAGAGTGTGTTTGTTTCTCCCAAATTCACTACTCACCTATTTTTTTTTCCCAAAAATATCAAATAAAACTCCTATTTTTTAATTTTTATATTATACTAAAAATTATTTTTACATTTAAAATATCATATCAATATCATATAACTATTTTAATTTAAAATTTTTACTGTTTAAATTTCAACTTAAAATCCAAACTCTAAAAAATACGCATATAATTAAATTGAAAAGAACAAACAAACAAAGAAGCAAATTTTTTAAAAAAGTCAGGCATGTATGCTGTAGAGTGCGGTTGGGCGGCGGTCGCCACTCCATTGTTTGTCAGTCCATTCTATTCGTGGCCTATATTGCGCCGACCAAAACGACGTCGTTTTCACCCATCTCCAATCATTCCCTCACCCACCCCCACCCCCCTCCCCCCCCATTACACGTCATCAATAACCAATCTCTGCAATTATAAATTGCACCCAACCAGCCACACCTCCAATCAATCCAATACTCGATTATCCATCCATCTTCAATCCCCCAAATCCGCCATTGTTGCTCTGCTTCCAACCTGTAACCAAATCAAACAATGGAGAACAAAGAGGAGGACGTGCGAGTCGGCGCCAACCGGTTCACCGAGCGGCAGCCGATCGGCACGGCGGCGCAGACTCAGGACAAGGACTACAAAGAGCCGCCGCCGGCGCCGCTCTTCGAGGCGGAGGAGCTGGCGTCCTGGTCCTTCTACCGCGCCGGAATCGCCGAGTTCGTCGCCACCTTCCTCTTCCTCTACGTCACCGTCCTGACAGTGATCGGCGTCAGCAAGTCGGACTCCAAATGCTCCACCGTCGGCATCCAGGGCATCGCCTGGGCCTTCGGCGGCATGATCTTCGCCCTCGTCTACTGCACCGCCGGCATCTCCGGCGGCCACATCAACCCGGCGGTGACCTTCGGCCTCTTCCTGGCCCGCAAGCTGTCGCTGACGCGGGCGGTGTTCTACATGGTGATGCAGTGTCTCGGCGCCATCTGCGGCGCCGGCGTCGTGAAGGGGTTCGGGAAGACGCTGTATATGAGCAACGGTGGGGGGGCCAACTCGGTGGCGCACGGCTACACCAAGGGGGACGGCCTGGGGGCCGAGATCGTCGGAACTTTCGTGCTCGTCTACACCGTCTTCTCCGCCACCGACGCCAAGCGGAGCGCACGCGACTCGCACGTGCCGGTGAGTCCGTAGACGTTGATTAATTAAGTATATTTAGGCTAAATTGCCCATTTGATTTTACGAAATTACATCATTTTATTTTTTTTTTTTTATTTCATAAATTCTAAACCCTAATATTAGAATATGCTCAGTTTTAGAATTTTCACTTTTAAACTCTAAAATTACAAATATACTGATTATTCTTATTATTTAACTTACATAATAAAAACATAATTATTTTTTTTATCTAATTTTAAAAGTATTTTTTTTTTTACGATTCTTTAAAAATGACAAAAATACTTATAGTATTATAGTAGTGTCTTATAATACCACTAACATTTGTGAAAAAATTATATAAATATAAAAATATTTTTAATTTTAAGTACAACGACACAAAAATAAATGAAATCCTTAGAGTCGTGGGAGTAAATGAATGTATTTATAACTTTGAAAATTTAGAAATGAATATTCTGAAATTCATTCGCGGTAGGAAGCGTATATAACAAAAACTGATAAATAAGAAGAATGGCTGAGGGGATTTTGACACAATTTTGAAAGAACGAAGATTTTGTACAATTTTATAAAATTATTGATGAATTTTACGGAATTTAGTCTTATATTTATATTAGTGATTAATATATATATATAATCAGATATTGGCGCCTTTGCCGATCGGGTTCGCGGTGTTCCTGGTGCATTTGGCGACGATTCCGATAACGGGTACGGGTATAAACCCGGCCCGTAGCCTCGGGGCGGCTATTATCTACAACAAGAGCCACGCCTGGCATGATCACGTAAGAATTACTACATTAATTAGTTAATTAATTAATTAATTAATTAATTAATTAAAAATGATAATAAGGGTTTGTTTGTTTGGTGGTAATAATTTGAAACGCAGTGGATATTCTGGGTTGGGCCATTCATTGGAGCAGCACTGGCAGCACTGTACCACCAGGTTGTGATCAGGGCTATTCCATTCAAGTCTTCATGAGGAATCCTCATTCAACAATTAATGGAGTAATTAATAAGACCAAAGAAGAAGATTATGAAACACAAACAAACAGACATTGGCTGGCTCACACCATTTTCTCAAGTTGTTATTGTTATTTTCAAGCTGCTGTGTGTTTATGAAGCATGTGTTGTGTGTATGTTATGTATGTATGTATGTGAGTGCATTTGGGCAACAAGAATGTACCATGTAACATGTCCATGTATGGCTTCTTTTTCATCTCTTAGCTTTTAAAATGAATGAAAAAGCAGCCACAAATATTTCACACTTGTGTTGTGCCAATATTAGACCATCTTCAACCCGTCAATTCTATTTATCCAGTTTTAATTCCAAATATATAATAATTTTATTTTAATCATAATTCTATTTTTTACTATTATTCTTTAAATATTCAATTTTTTCTATTATTTTAAATAGTTTTTTGTTTTTATAATTTAAAATAAAATTTTAAAAAATAAAAATTAAATTTAAAAGTCAAATTTATAATTTAAAAAATAAATAAATAAAGCAACGCCAAAAAGTGGCTCAAGATTTAGCGTCAGAAACCAATGCCAAAGAAGACATTAATGGCGCTGGGTTGGAGATGCTCTTAGGAAGTTTAAATTTATATGTAAGGTGGCGTGGCGGCTACAGTACTAAATGTAAAATTCAGCACTGTGCTGAATAATATACCGTGTGCTACTACAACACATGATATAGTCTCACACAATACAGTATGATTTTAATACATGACATACTCTCGTATAGCCCATGTTATAATTATGAACTAGCAACATATATTTTTATTACAAATAGCATATATTTTTATTACAAACAATACATATTGTATTTAATAAAAACATGTATTATTTTTGTATTTTACTTGTGCTGATTTGGAGAATCAAAGTGAATATATATATATATATATATTTGTGTATTTTATTAGTACTTGCAAATATTTATAACTCCAAATATTTACTCCTATAAAATAAAGCTAAAAAAGAATAATAGGTTCCTAAACCCCTTGTTAGATCCTAGACTGGAGGGCCCTCAAGTCCTAACTTCGCACTCAATAATGGTCACTGTTGACTAATTTTGAATTATACTCTAGGTAAATTCAGACTTAGCAGAATTCTGTTTACACAGTACATTTTTACTGCATTATTTAATTTTCAAAAATATTATATCAAATTATTTTATTTTTTATAAAATATCGAATCAAATACTAATTTTTTTATTTTTTTTTAAATTTTCAAAATTTTAAAAATCTTTGTCTAAATAAACCCTAAAATCATTGCCGGTTGATTAGTTTTTAATAAATTTGGGTTGATTAGTATTTAATAAATTTTGATTTCATTTAAATTAAAATGAATTAATCTGATTAAAATTAATAAAAAAAGTTCAGTGAATTAAAATTTGATTATTATAGTTTTGCAAACTAGATAAAAGTTATTTAAAATATAAAATAAGAAAAATAAAAATCTAAACAAAGGCAAACTCTTACAATTTTATCCGCATCTAAGCTTTTGCTTAAATGGAATGACATATTTCATTACGGTATGACAGGTTACAATTTTAACTGCCATTTTATTTATATCTATTTTTAATAAATTTTTTTTTAATTTTTAGTTTTTAAAATTTAAATTTTATTTAAAAATAATTCATTTTAATTTTGTTTAGATATATACTATTTATTATTTATTTACTATGTAAACATTATATAAAATATTAATTAATTTAATATTATGATATGAAAAATAAAAGATAATAAATTTAGTAATTAATTAAATTAAAATTTGAATTATAATAAATAAAAATATATTATAAAATTATTGATATATTAAATAATAAAATATTTTAAATTAAATATATTAATAATAAAAATTATAAAATTATAAATATAAATATAAAAAATAATATAGTAGTATTATTTTCTATATTATTAATAATTACTTATTTTTACTAATATTGATATTATTTTTATTTTTATTTTTATAAAAATATAATAATATATACTTTCTATCTCCTTTAACCATTTATCAATTTTTTTATTTTGATTTCTCTTGTAACAAATTATCTATTTTTTTTTAGAAATCGTACTTTATACTAACATTAAAAATATTCTTACAACTTACAACATATATATATTTTTATTTTATTTATATCACATCTCAATATAATACTAAATGCATGGCTTATCTTCTTCATCTTCAATTATTTCTTCTTCGTTTTTCTTTCCTTCCCTTCCTTCTTCACAGACATTGCCAAGCAGGTTAAATATACGAATATGAATATAAATATAAATATAAATATAAATAATGACCGAACCACTGCCGGTTTGACAAATACACACCAAAACCGAACATTGTCGGTTCGAAAACCGACGAACCGGCTGCTAAGAACCGGATGGGCGAGTCTATCCACATCTCCTCATCCTCACATTCTTCGCCTGCAATTCTTAACAACGGTGACACTGCCACCAACTAACTCTCTTTCTCGCCCTCCTCCTCCTTTTCCACTCCGCCGTCTCTACTAATTTGACTTCATATCTACAAGAGCCTCCCGGCGATGGATTTTCGCCTCCTAAACTCAGCGGATCTCCGCCCCGCCGCCTTCACGGCAAAATCATCGTCCGATAGAATATCGGAATCCAACGGCAACAGTTTTAACCCGAAAAGCATTCAATTTCGCAAGTTTACGAAAAAAGACCTCTCGAGAATCCTACGAACGGAAGCGGCGATTGAAGAGATTGAAAGGAAGGCGAACTCTTCAAAGTACAACAATCTCTGGCCTAAGGCTGTACTGGAAGCTCTGAGTAATGCAATTAAGAGAAACCGTTGGGAGTCTGCTCTTAAGGTTTGTTATTATTTCCTACAGATTTCATTTTGAATGAATTTCTGCTGCATCTTAATTCAAAGTCGCTCAAGCAAGTACAACGACATTTTGGCTTTGATTTCCAGAAAATACTTGTAAATTTGTTATGGAAGTTAGTTTACTTGTTGAAGATCTTATGATTTCGGATTAGACATGAAATTCTATCACGAGTATGCATAATTATAGAATGCAACAAGCATTTGCAAAAGCATTGCATATTTCTTGCAACTTGTATGCTTTTTTGGGGAGATATTGTTAAGAGATTTTCTTTTTTTTTGGGTATTTATTCAGTGATTTTTACTATTAAATTGATTTTTGCCTGGCGTTAGATACTAACTTTCAGTATTGCACATTGGTATGGAGATATCATTTCTTAATCTAGAGGCAAGAGGGCTCTTTTCACATATAAATTTTGTCTAATGTGGAGTAGCACAGAATGTTTCCTGTTTTGTTACAAATAAATTTCACTTTCTTGTGTATGTAGATATTTTATCTTCTGCGTCAGCAACAGTGGTATGTGCCGAGGTCTCAGACATATACAAAGCTTTTAGTAATGCTCGGAGAGTGCAAGCAACCAAATCAGGCTAGTTTGCTTTTCGAGACCATGCTATCTGATGGCCTCCGACCAACAGTTGATGTGTACACTGCACTCGTGGGTGCTTTTGCTCTGAATGGCCTTTTTGATGAGGCATTTAGTATTATTGAGAATATGAAGTCCACTGGCGATTGCAAACCTGATGCATTCACATACTCCATTCTTATCAAATGTTGTGTTAAACAATATCGGTTTGAAATGATCAAGGTTATTTTAGAGGAAATGTCATGTTTTGGAGTTAAATGTAACACCGTGACTTACAACACACTTATCCATGGATATGGAAAGGCTAAACGTTTTGAACAGATGGACAACTCTTTGACAGAGATGATTCAGAGTGGTGAATGCTGTCCAGATATTTTTACTTTTAATTCTGTTATTGGGGCTTATGGTGGATGTGGGAAGATTGAGGAAATGGAGAAGTGGTTCGATGAGTTTCAGCTGATGGGCTTAGAGCCTGATATTATGACATACAACATTTTGATTAAATCATATGGGAATTCTGGATTGTACCAAAAGATGGGATTAGTGATGGAGTTTATGGAGAGGAGATTTTTCTCTCCTACGATTGTTACATATAACATTGTGATCGAGATATTTGGGAAGGCTGGAGATATTGAAAAGATGAATGAGATGTTTCTGCAAATGAAGCATCGTGGGTTGAAACCAAACACTATTACTTACAGTTCACTTGTCTGTGCTTATAGTAAAGCAGGACGGTTGGAAGAAGTTGATGCCATTCTAAGGCAAATAGAGAGTTCTGATGTGGTGCTTGATACAGTGTTTTTCAACTGTATCATCAATGCATTCGGGGTTGCTGGAGATATAGAAAGGATGCAGGAGTTATTCATAGCAATGGAAGGATGTGGGTGTAAGCCAGATAATATAACATTTGCCACAATGATCCAAGCTTTTCAGGCAAAAGGGATGATTGACGCTGCCAAGAGCTTGGAGAGTAATATGATCAGTGCTAATCGTTCTTCAGGTACTCACAAGAAGCCTTTCTATTAATTTTTAGATTTAGAGTGCATAGCATACTTCCTAACCTGTTATATTACTGATTGCATTTGGTACTCCAGCAAAGTTACAATTCCTCGGCTCTTGTTGAGCTTTAATGCATAGTATTGATGATAATTCTACATGTTTGTTGACAATCACAAAACTGCCGATGTCTACGTGGTTCAATTACGATTTATGGAAGAAGTTGATTGAGTAGAGTTAGTTGCACAATCCTCTGATAACATAGATTCCTATTTTCGATGATACAATCAAGACAATTGATTGAATCCTGTAAACCAGTGTATAGAAATTCATTGACATATATTATATATTGTTCAAAAGCAAAATGACTTTGCTTCTTGAATATTCCGGTCACTTCTACTTCTATTGTTACTCAAGATACTTACTCTGTGGAAAAGCCCCAATCTGTCTGAGTGTAACCTTATTAACCCCATCATGTGTTGTTACTGGCAACATTTTGTATACATATGTCGTTGTATTGCCCGGATTTAAATTTCTATGTACCAAATGAATCTTTCCCTTACACTTGTTTCAACTATCAAATAAGTTCTTCGTTAGCTCATTGATGGCAACATCCTTGCATAAGACTTCCAACATATAAATTTTTAGGAAGTAGCAAAACATTGTGTGCAATCTTGACTATATGCCTTTGTAATTATATTGATCTGGGAGATTGGGAACTATTTTTATGCTGTTGTCTACTATGACTCCACTTTCTGAATTTGAACTTCTAGTTCTTATGTTTTTTTCCATTGTTTTCTTACCTCTTTAAGAACAGCATTCAATCACTGCATTATTTAATGCAAACCACTTTCTTGCTGTCTTCGCCTTGCATTTTAGATTTTTATTGTTTGAAGCAGTATGAGTTCTACAAGTCATGTTCTTATATTTCTGCACACTTTATTAATGGCTAGATTCCACACTGATTTATGTGAGTGAAGAGGAAATGGATATGACCACTGAGTGCCTGTTTGAACAGAGCTTGGGGTCAAGATAATCGTATTAGCAATCTATTAATCCATGGATTTTGTTCATTCGAATGTTGTTTCATGAGATCTGCTTGTTTTTCTTGATTTTTTTCTGGAGTTGATGCGGTTTCATTTGCTTTTCTGATGTGATTTCTCTTGCCGGTAATTGATGATGTTTGGTTTCTGCGCATGGACTTGATAAACGGTCAGGGTGACCTGTTTTCATTTGTTAGATTATAACTACGAAAAGATGTGATGTAAAAAGAATTGCTATTCAATTGATACAAGAAAATACTACTGAGTCCTATGTATTGTGATAGGGAATGATTTTGTTTCTATATTTACATATATTTGTGTGTTTTACGGATCAATCTCCGGGTTACAGTTTTGCATAGAATTGGATTCCATTACACATTTAATGCAGGAAACCAGGAGATTCTATCTGTTAGGTCAATGTAAATCTTTAAGCTATCTGTGTGCTTATTGTTAATGTTGAATTCTGGGGATTAAAGAGTTCTGCACGCCTTCTTTGAGAATTTGTGATAGTATTGTTTTTGCCTCTAGCTTCACCTTGAGAAGTTGTATCTTAAGAAACAATTGTTGAGGGAATTACTTTTCTATGAACTCCACTATGTATTTGTTTACAAGAACAACTTCTTAGCCATTTCAATCTCAGATCTTTCAATTTGTTTGGATGCTAGTTTCGATGGGATAATTTCGCTTTTGTTAGCAATGCTAAATAGTTATGCATGGTATTGTAAAGAATACTTTTATGTAATTTTTCACTAATACAAATTATCCTTTTCAGTAAACACCTCCTATAAGTGTACTTATGCATGTATACATAAGTTGGTAGTATTGCTATAGCATTATATATTTATATATATATAGATATAGATATTCAAATTTTGGATTTGTAACTTTTTGTTCAAAATTCATTTAGTAGAATCAACTGTTTGAAAAGATCAGGATAAGTTGTCTTTGTGAATTCCATGTAATGTGATTGATGCAACTTTAATCTGATTCATTTTTATGGGTTTGCTCTTGCATTGTTTTAACACAACTTCTTTTCTTACTGCAGCTAGGAGTCCAAATATATGACATTGTAACACAGGTGGGCAATTTAATTACTGCCGTCTGCCATAAATACGATTTTGTTAGCCGAGATCTTTCACCATGCTTGCCCAGATCACATATTGATTCGATAGCAATCAAAGTACAGCCTGGCCGCTATGCCCTTTCTTCTCTTTACAGTAGTCATTTTAAGTTGTGGTATGACTGCTGAACAAGACAATGAAGTCATTTTAAGTTGTAGTCATTTTCCTTCTTCCCAAGCCTGGCTGGAAAAGGAGCCCTGGCTATCGCTTGAGCGTGGGGTTTTTCTGGCTGTTCAAGTACCCGAATGACTGGTGTCGCTCGTGGTTGGGATGGACCTTCTTCTTTGGGATTTGGATGTTTTCATCCTGCAAAGGTAAATTTACAAAAATAAAGGTAGAAGAGAAGCTAGTACCTCTAGCTGGCAATGGTGGCGATTTACTTGGTTCAGGATAGTCTCAACTATCCCAGACAACGTTCCTTTCTGCTTCAGCTTCATAGCTTCGGCTATCTGCCCGACTTGAATCTCCAGCATCTTGATCGAGGAGATGTATTGTGTTGGAACTCCTGATTCGCTCGTATGGTATTTCTCCAAAGTTCCTCCAGACTCACGGATGCCGTGCCACTGTGAGAAGTGGAGCGAAAACAGGTGCCTGAGAAGTGGAGCGAAAACAAGTGCCTGCTGCGGAAAATGCGGAAAATGGGGGGTATGAAAGTATTGTTGTTGTGGGTAGAATTACCCCAGATAATATTGTTGCGCAGCGAACGGTGGCGGCTATTGAAATTGTTGTTGAGCACGTGGTCCAGTAGGCCTTTGGGGTTGCCCCTTCTGAAACTGTTGGAACTGAAGAGTATTTCTATTCGCTATGTAAAAGACCTCCGATAGGTTCTGAGGTTGCTTAGTAGAGCCCTCAGCGACCTGCAGGCTAGATTGGTCAACATAGGCGCACTCCTCTATGGCCACGGCCTCGCTTACTACATGTTTTCCTTTATTACCGGGGTCCTACTTTACGAGCTTGGCAAGCTCTTTGATTTGAACCGACAGGCTGTCGATCCTATTATCTTGTGAGACTGTAGCAGGAAACTTAATAGCTCTGGTCTGTTGGTCTCTGGCCAGCCTGGCCGCATGGATGTCCTTTATCGTACTGGTGAAACTCAGCAGGTCAGGTCAGGTCAATCTTTTGGCTGAAGGCATAAATTTCTTCCTTTTATGTTATTTCTGCATTTAGCTTGAATGAATTAAGTGGTGGTTTTTAGTTCAAAGATGAGGATGACGACTTCTTCTTGTGCTCTATGCCCTATTAATTCCAGGGCATTCCTACATACACGCCGCGTATGGTTTCGGTAGATCTTCAAGGTACATTATATTTTATGAATCACTTTATATAGCCTCACGTTGTATCTTATAATCCAACCTGCTTCTATATATACATACGTAGATACATCAACTTCTGAGTTTTTGCTAATATGAGGAGATGAGCTTGTAGGTTATTGAAGCTGAGTTTCGAGTTCATGATGTTGTGTTTTCAATCAGAACTCCTGCTGCTGATTTTTTCTTCTCCATTTCTTTGTTTTCACTACCAAATTGAAACAATTGTATTATTAACTTATGTGGGTGCGTAAGGATATGGAGTTGCCTAGAAAATATTTTGCCTGCTCTGGAAGTATTTTTCCACCATTTTCCGTCTTGGGATTCAAGATTTTTTTTTTATTAGTGTAGTCCTACTACCAGAAAAATAAAATAAATCAATATGTTTAATTGGTAATTTCTAAGAGTAACTCCTTTAGGAAAAAAAAATGACTGATCAGATTTGGTCATTGAGCACCAGAGTGTGAAAATGATTGGAACTGTTAATGAAAAGCATATTTTTAAGTTCAGAGGCTATATCTGAGATTTATAACTTTATATCAGAAGGAGACGAAACAAAAAGAAATGCTAATATAAAAGTTAATTTGCAATATGTTATTTTAATTGCAGAGCTAGCTGCTCAGCTTTTTTACGCATACCTCAGCTTTCATAGTAATATATAGCAATTTTTAGTTTTAAATTGAATATTAACTGTTCAAATTCTTTGTCTCAAAATTTGACTTCCAAAGTTGTGTTTGGGTATCTTTCTTGCTTTACTCAAGAAAATCTTGAAATTGCTGTTGATTCGTTATCTTTTGTTAAAAATATTTGATAATTCTTTTTTTATCCTTTTAGGTTTTCTAAACCTTGGTGCTGTATGTGTCTATGTATATGTTCACATGCTTGCATGCATATAAACCTGCCTATGCATATGTCTCCACAATGTATTTTATGCATCCATGTTTGTAGCTGTGTATGATACCCTCAAAATTGGTACTTTAGGTAGAACTTTTGGTTTCAGGGAGAGGAAATGTCATTGTAATTTGCTGAGTCATGTTATAGTTAATGACAAAAGAGATCTGCTGACTGCTTTAAGAACATCATTGTCTTAGTTCTCATTTGAAAAGCATTTCGAGCAATCTTGTACAGGTTACATTTTTGTTCATAGTTTAGTTGAAAATGCATAAATGGGCTATTCGCTTCTAATAGGCTGCTGCTGCTGCGTGTCTTTCAACAGGATCCCTAGGATCAGTGGGTTCGCGGGGATCTTTGTACAATGAAGCCCCAGAAACGTCAACGGATAATATTACATGGTGTGATGTTAATTCTTCTTTCATATTGTATGAAATATACTTTTGAATTTTGCTGTAAGTGGATGCAAGTGTAGCTCTGTGTGTAATGAGGCTCTCATCTCTAGATTTGTTTGTTTGTTTTTTCACTGCTTCTGTGATGCATCTCTTTCAATTTTATGCTACTTGCTACATTGAAATCTGAGTACTACTTTATATCACATGATCTTATTTAAAAGATATTTATTTCTTTCGGTTGTTGTTAAATTGGGTGAGGGACTTAACTGAAAAGCATTATGGTTACATCCTTTTCCCTACACATCCTTTCCTCTTCTTCCCTCAGAAATGGATCTAAATTCTCGATATGTTGTACTTCTCTGTTTTTTTTTTTTACACTGTTATATGCACAAAAGATCTGTGTCTTTGGTCTTGACTTTATCTTATCTGAAAGACTAGCGACTCTTGATACTGCCTTTAGATGTTGGAAGCTCTATCCATATTATGGTTCAAATGCCTGAAATGCTATATTACCTCAGACCTTGAACTTGGTCCATTTTATAATGTTTTTAAAGAATGGAAATGCTAACACTCATAGTTGTTATCACTGCCTTCGGAAAGTGGAGGTTTATTTCCATTTTAATTTTTGTGCTCCTTAAAAATGGTGAATTTAAGCCTTAGCTGCATTTTTGGAAGCTCTTATTTCTTGCTTTGTTCTTCATATATTGCAAATTGCATCCTGGTTTTTGCATTCACTGCCTGAACTAAGAATATTCAGAAAAATTTGTAGGACAGGTCCTGTAACAATTCAAACATCTCAGCCTATAAAGAAGAATTTGTTCTTGCAAAGTTTGCACTTGGAAGAAAATGAAAACTTGGGTAGCTCAGGAGGTTGTGACAGCAGTGACAATGCTTTCCATACTGAAATTCCTGATAAGGACATTGTCGAAAGTCTCGAAAATGAAGTTCAGTATTGGACAGATTTCTCAAAAGTTCATTATCACCCTCAGAGTTTGTATGAATTGAGTGGGATGTGGATGGACCTCAAAGAATTTAAAAATTATGGAATTGGAAAAGAGGCATTTTCAGGTGTACACACAGAAGAAATTAATGAGAGACTTCGCTTTTTCATTGAAGAAAGTGACCATCCTCAGGTACTGTACATGCATGATAACTAAGAGCTTTTGGTTTTACCGGTGCAACTTGTAAATGATGGAATTGGGGCATTGGTCTGCCTGCCGCTGAATATAAAAGACTTGCAATTGTCTAAACTATTGAAAGCTTCAGGGTTCTCTTCGAAAACCTTTTTATCACTTCAGTTCACTTTGGCACAAAGATGCATTAGAAGTTTTCCTTTTAAGAAAACATTTACGTGGAATTAATATTTTGAATTACTATCATACAAAGCATAATGTTGTAGAGCATCCAATTATTTAGTATCCATTATACTAATATTCACCTTATTTTTTTGTGTTTGAATTTCAATACTGATTTCCTTGAACAGGGAATTCAATTCATTGTTGATGATTTTGGGGGCTTCTCTGGTTTAGCAGCGGAGTTTCTAGAGAATATTTCTGATGAGTACCCAAACATTCCAGTCCTATTGTACTCTGTTCATGCTCCTGACACTTGCCTAGGTTCCCAAAACCGCAAAATGGCAATATCCCGTAAACTTCATGATGCAGTTTCATTCGCCAAGTTGTCATCATTCTGTAAAATGATTGTTCCGATTGGTCTGCCATCGCCAAGTATGAGTAAGAATCTTGATCATACGAAAGACACTTCTTTATTAGTTTTCTGGTTGTTTCTCTATGAGACCTAATAGATACCACAATACAACAATTGATAATTATATGGAACTGAAAAGTATTATTAGTTTTCTGGTTGTTTCTCTGTGAGACCTAATAGATACCACAATACAACAATTGATAATTGTATGGAACTGAAAAGCTGATGATGCCGACTATTAACTCTCCCAACTCTCAAATTAAATCTCATAGCCGTAAGGGACTCTTTAATTTATATTAAGAGAACTGCTTGTTTATAGTGACAATTGATCATCTACTTTCTTTTAGAGTTGCAATAACAGTTGAAGTTGGAAATTCTAATAATACTGACCTTTTATAGTATTTCAATTGCAACATTTAAACAAACATATGCTTGTTGTAGTTTTGATTAGTTGAAGGGTCACTTCAAACTTAAGTTCATGGCTTCATGCTTATTAATCCTGGCTAATATTGCCCACTTCTTTAAAATATTATGTATCTCTTTGCTTAAGGAGATTAGAAATTTTGTTTGAAGATGCTTATTAAAATTTTAAAAAATGGTTAATACTTAACATTGCATGTTGAATGCTTGCTATGGATGTTAAATGCTAAGTATTAGTTGTAAAATTTTAAAAAAATGTTGAATACTTAACATTGCATGTCAAATGCTTGATATGAATGTTAAATGCTAAGTTATATGTTGCTGGCTTAAGTTGTATATCCAATAAGCTTTTGGGATGTTCTGTTATATACATAGTATATAAATCAACCACAATTTTCATTTAGTGTGGTTAATTTTCACCCCTATTTAGTGAATAAGTTTGTGCATATTTTTGTTATCACATGGAGTTAAGTTTAATTGGTAAGCGACATTGCAGTAATTAAACATGAATGTCTTTTTAACAATTCAGATTAACCTCTCCCTTGTATTTTGGTGTGCTTGAGTGGTTTCCACTTCTCTTTTGTTTTTACATGTAACCGGTACGTTGCACTTGGCATGTGCTTGTAGCCACGGCATTTAGATAACTTCTATTTGTCTATTTAAAGGTAAGATGTCAAAGCACCTCCATTTGGAAGATAAAAAACCTTATCACACCAGTGCAGTTTATGCATCTGCGATACACTCTGTCAGTCTCCCTTTCAGAATGGATACACTGGGGCCTAGTGCACAGTTGAGCCACACATGTGGTGCTTTGAGTGTCAATGACCTCGTCCAAATGTTAGCAGGCCGGGATCGGCAGAACATGGTTGTTACACTGGATGTTGCAATGCCGGCTCCAGCTTTGACAGGTTCTATATAGTTTAAATTTTACTGCCCCATTATCAGGAATCAGCCATCGCTGAAATTTTTATATCACTTGAAACAGCTGTCCAGGTCCAACAATCTTTATTAAAGCAGTTGCAGCCAATTAGTCCTGAAATATCCGATGTTGAAGACATGCATGCTTTGGAATCTATGATCATCCATGGGGTCTGTGGATCAGGTTAAGTTCCCTCTGAGCCTGTAAACTTGAATGTTCTTAAGCAATTATTCTCTAGATTCTGCTATATCCTGAATACCTCTATATGCACAAGTTGAAAAATGAAAAGTCTTTCTAGTTAACATTGTTTTGAGAATGTTCTTTGGGATATTTTTTTGTGATATCCTGAATTTCTTCCTGAGAAGCAAAAAGGATAGAAGCATTGATACATAGGAATCCATATCTATGCCTTTAATTCAAGGTTTTGCAAAATCTTGCATTGTATAAAAGAAAATTGATAGTGCTGGATACCTTTAGCAGAGAAATGGCCATTAACATGTAGAATGCTGTTTGTGAGAAATATTAATTTCATATGATCTTAACTCTAATTCTTTTGTTTGTATCTGAAATCAGGAAGCAAAAGAGCCTTAGTTTCCCAAGTTCAGGAAGCTGTCCAAGCTGCTTATTTAAGTGCAGAAGAAAGGCCCAAATTCTCCCATCTATCTCTTGCTCGGTGTCCTCTTCCAATACCATTGCCTTTCCCTTCAATATTTGGGAACCATGTTGGCCAAAATGGTGAGCTCTTGGATGCCCCCATTTCCGACTCTCCATCAAGGGGGTCACTTGAAGTCCACTCGATCCCCATGGCAGCAAAACTACGTTCCAGCAATGGTTTTTTGCCGTTTCTGGAGAATAGACTGGGAAGCCTTGGCAAGTTTGGCATTGGACGAGGAGCACTTGGGGCAGAGTTACTGAAAAGTTGGGGATTTGGAGATGAGGATGTAGAAGATATGGTAGAGACGCTGTCAAATATGGTAGCAAAGTTGAAACCAGCATTCGAAGAAACATCAGATTCTGATTGAAGGTCGGTTAGTCTATCACTCTGTCTACATGATTTTTAACAAAGGATCAGTGAAGGATAGATATATAGATATACCAAAAAATAGATGGATGTATGTATATATACCCTCTTTAAGTTGGTCTTGCTGACATGAATTTTCTTCTCTTTACAAGAATAAATGACAATGTGGTTTGGCCATATAGTATTCTCGGGTCTGGACAAAATGAGCACACCCACAGTGTTTTATAATCTTGTGTAATTGAACTCTTGTCTTTGTAAGTTATCAAGACCAATATGATTTAATTACTAAATTGTTTTCCATTTTCAGAGATTTACCTGGAGCTGGATGTGTCAGGCTAGATAGTAGATAGAGCAATCTGTATGAAACTATCTTGAATTCCATGTTTGTGTTATATTATGTTCCATGTGATGTTCAAAACTAATTGCTTTCTATTTACAGAGCCATGCAGGTTTGTTCTATCTTTACATCGCGGTGCTTCTTGTTGTAAATAACAGGCTTACCATTGAGAATTTAATGAAGGTACGCTTGTCTTGAAATCTCTCTAGTTTTTTAACATTATTGCAACATTGGATCAAATCTTGCGACTTACAGTATGGATTGCTGATCAAATATGGGTTTTGGTTTAGTTCAAAGTCACTTAGGTATTGGCCTCTTAGGATGTGTTGGTAAATACAGCTAGAACCCATTATTCTTTTGTCGGCATAGTTTGTCTGCAAAACTTTTAACTTTTCCAACTTTTTATTGCAGTCTAAGTCTTCCAATTTCTCTTTTGGAGAATTCGATGCAATAGAAATAGAAGTACATATCTGAATGGGTTATTGCAACTGTCTGCTTTCTTGTAGTAATACTCCTTGACCTCTTGTAGTAATACTCCTTGAAATCTTGTAAGTATTTGGATTAAGGTCAGTGAATTTTAGTTAAACCACACATGAATCCTTAAAACTACGTCATTTTATGCAATCGTGTAAAGAAGGCCGGTTTACTTTGGTGAAAGAATAATTGAATTAACACAATATAGATCACCCAATGCAGAATTCAAATACAAGAAAGATAAAACTATTTGTTTGGACAAGAAAGATATAAATTAGTTATTTAAATAGTAAATATTTATTATTTAATGATTAAAAATTCTAAAATATATATTTTAAATATTTTTATCATTATATTTTAATAATATATATATATAATATGAATATAATTTTGTAGAAAATAAAATTTTATATAATAAAAAATATTTATTTATTTATATTCCTATAATTAGTTTTATAAAAATATTGAAAGTTTTAAAGAATAAATAAAAATTTAATTAAATATATTTATATATGTTAAATGACTTTAAAGTGATAAAATTACAGAAAGAGTCAATTTTGTGGAACGGATAAAAAAGTTAAAAGAATCATCTGTCGGGGATAGAGTATATACTTCGTCGGACTCTAAAGTTTCGTTTACTTTTTGTGTGAGTTGCAAAAATATATATTAAAATATTAATAAAATGATATTTGTACACAAAAAAAAATTATATAAATATAAAAATATATTTAATGTTAACTACAATGACTCAAAAACAAATGTGATCCTTAGAAGACAGACATTTAGGGAGCATTATATTCTTATATTTCTACTAATTTTCTTTTTAATAATATACTATTATTATGTTTTATAAAAATATGAGTTTGTTTGGAGATTTAGAATTTGTGTCTCAGGTTTAAATAATAATAATTTTTAATTTAAATAGTTATATAATACAATATAAATAGATATTAATTTGATATTTTTACTATAATATAAAAATAAAAAGTAAATATTTAATATAATACTATATAATTTTATTTTTAAAAGAAAAATTAATAAAATTTGATAAAAGAACAAACTTATTTTACCCTATAAAAACGCTGCACTACAGTGCGCCACTTCTTCCCATACTTCATCTTCTCCTATTCTCCCCTTATTACTTTTTTTTTTTTTTTTTTTCCCTCACTCTTTTCCTGCTGTTCTTCTGTCCCAGATAATTTGTCATTTTTTCTAATTCGTAATTCCTAATGCAATGTAAATTCTTTTTTCTTTTTTTTTTTCAAATTTCCATTATTTATCAATTTTTTTAAAAAATATCAAATCAAATATTTATTATTTATTTTTATATTATATTAAAAATTCATTTTACACATAACAAATATTATAATTTAAAATTTTTACTATCCTGGAATTCAAAATCTAAATTCAAAAACAAACACAAAGGTATTAAGGAAAAAGGTAATGATAGTGGGATAGTAGGACTGTGACAATAATAAGAGAGTATAAATATGTCTGAACCGCCGGTTCGAACGTCAAGCCAATTGTTCGAACAGGCATCCTTCAGAGCAAGTCCTAATATTATTATCATTATTATTAGCAGGGAAAAAAAACAATGATTTTTGGTACCAATATAACTAAAATTCATCAATTGTCCCAATATAAAAAATTTATTAATTTTAGTTTCAATATAATCGAAACTCATCATTTTTTGTCCAAATATAACTAAAACTCATCATTTTTTATTTCAATATAAATTTTTTATCAATTTTAGTCTCAATAACCAAAACTTATCATTTTTTTTTCCAATATAATCAAGTTTTATCTTTTTTGGTCTCATCGTCAACAAACCGACGGAAAATGCTGATGTTGACTTGCAAGATTGTGCAATTTCTTCGAATATAAATATAAGGTTTGATTTCTTTTCACATCAATATTTTCCGTCGGTTTGTTGACGGTGGGACCAAAAAAGATAATATTTAATTATATTGAGACTAAAATTGATAAAATTTTTATATTGAAACAAAAAATGATGAATTTTGGTTATACAGGACAAAAAAATGATGAGTTTTGGTTATATTGAGATAAAAAATGATAATATTTATATATTGGGACCAAAATTAATAAATTTTAGTTTTATTGGGACTAAAAATAATTTTTTCCCTCATTATTATCCAATAATTTAAGGCAAGTCTCTGAGACTCTGTCTATATATTTATACGATTAGACTTGCTCAAACGTTCAAACTGCTGGTTACGATTACAAAACGTCGGTTACGGTTTGTCAAAATATCAAACCGAAACCGAACTTTCCGAATGACGGTTTCGATTACGATTTGACGGTTTTGATTACGGTTTATAAACCGCCGATTACGGTTTGAACCGCCGGTTTATATATTCATTTTTGATATATTTTTTTTATTTTCTATTTTTCTAAAAATTTGAATTTTATTTAAAAATAATTAATTTTCATTTTAATTTTATTTAAGCACTAACAGTGACTCTGTTATCGAAGACTTCTCGTTACATTTGGACGGCTTTACTTTCCTTAATCGAAATTAGTGATACGCAGTGACCTTAAATTTGATTTACATAAGTTGATGTAAAATCGACACCACCTTGGTGCAGAAGAAGCCAAGCCAAAGTCTTCTTTTTCTCTTTCACTTTCTCTTTACATAAATTTGTTAGAGCCACTGTACATTTATTTTTCCCCCTCCTACATTTGCCTACTTCCGTCGTTTGACACGTAAAATTAATGTGTAAAAAAAAACATTTAAATTAATAAAGCCACTGTATGTGCTCTTAGATATATTTATTATTTATTTATTATATAAAAATTATATATATAAATAATTAATTAAATTTTTACAATATAAAAATAATTAAAATAATAAATATAATAAATAATTAAATTATAAAAATATTGTACTAATAGATAATAAAATAATTTAAATTATATATAATTATAAAATATAAAATATAAATATAAAATATTAATAGTATTATTATTTTTCAATATTATTAATAATTATTTATATGTATTAATATTATTATTATTATATTTTAAATTTTAATTATAAATATAATGATATTATAATAAAATACACACAATTTAACGATAATATCTAATCAGGCATCATATCCACGCTGTACGGAGGCCGCAGATCCGCAGCCGCGCCTGAGCCAGTGAGCCCCCAGGTTCTCCCTCTTCCTTCCTTTTTCCTTAGGTCTTCCCATTTCTTTCCTTTTTTCTTGCAACCTCGGTCCTTCTACTCCTTTCCTCTTCTTTTTCTTCTGTGCGCCTACCTGCCCTGCCATGGTGAGAGATTAAAAAAAAGAAAATAAAAAAAGAAGCTAAACCGCCGGTTTACGGTTTGAACCGGAGGTTTGCGGTTTGAGAAAATTCCAAACCGAACCGTCGAAACGACGGTTTCGGTTCGGTTTGTGTCCGGTTTCGGTTCGAACCGTAATCACCGGTTCATAAGCCGTCGAACCGGCGGTTCGAACCGACGGTTCGATACCGAATGGGCAAGTGTATATACGATGCTATTTCTATCTGGTCTTTATTTTTCGTCCTTTTTGTAATCAGGCGCCGCCTTCATCCAGGGCATAAGGCCGATAAGCTTCTACCGTCGAGTTCCGCTTTCAGGTCTTTCTGCAACCCCCAAACTTTATTCTTGTATGCGTAGATCTGCGTGTATCCTCCTCGTGCTGCAATTCGTTTCATCTGAGCATACGTTTCGCGCTGTAGACGAGCAATTATTTTAGATCTCGGTTAGGGTTTCATGTGGCGCTAATATTTAGATTTTTTATTTTTATTTTTTGAATTAATCGTTGAATTTATGGTTTCAAATCAACGTTATGAGAAACTGCTATTGATTCTCCCATAGATAGTTTCTTATATGCTTTGGTTCTTGTATTCCATCCCGTATGCTGTTTGCTAGATTTCTAGGTGTCATCTTCTTTCCAATATTGTCGTGATATAATTCTTTTTAGTTGTTTGGATTTCTTTGATAATTTTATTGGATTAATTCATTTTTAGGGTTATAACGTCTCGGCGTGTTGACACCAGAATTTGAAGATGGTGGCGTTGACAGATATTCTCCCAAAGGCGAAATCATCTGTGACCTCTAACTATGATCATTCAAATGATCCATGGTTCAAAAGTAGGTACTCATTATCTGAATCCGAGGAATCCGAAGCTCCCATCTCCAAGGCCAAACCTGTGCCTCCTTATTTGAAAAGGGCAGGATTTAAGCCCTCTAAGCCTGAAGATTTTGGGGATGGAGGTGCATTCCCGGAGATTCACTATGCTCAGTATCCACTTGGCATGGGCCGAAGCACCAAGCAGAAGCCAGGTGGGAAGACTCTGCCCCTCACTGTGGACGAGCAGGGGAACTTGAGATACGATGCAGTTGTGAGGCAGAATGAGAATTCTAAGAAGATCGTGTATTCTCAGCATACCGATCTTGTTCCAATATTTGCAAAGGATGCTGAGAAGGAAGATGATATGGATGTGGATGAGAAGCAGAAAGAGATTGATGAGACCACCCAAGAAACCCGATCTGCTCTTGAGAAGATTGTGAATGTCAGGTTGAGTGCTGCACAGCCGAAAAATGTTCCAAAACAGTCTTCAGACTCGAAGTTCATCAAGTACAAACCTTCTCAGCAGTCTGCAGCCTTTAATTCAGGGGCTAAAGAGAGGATCATTCGCATGGTCGAGATGCCTGTGGATCCTATGGAGCCTCCCAAGTTTAAGCACAAGAGGGTACCCAAGGCTTCGGGTTCTCCACCTGTGCCAGTTATGCATTCTCCGCCTCGGCCTGTGACAGTCAAGGACCAGCAGGACTGGAAGATCCCACCTTGTATTTCCAATTGGAAGAACCCTAAAGGATACACAATCCCACTCGACAAGCGCCTGGCTGCTGATGGTCGGGGTCTGCAGGAGGTTCAGATCAATGACAATTTTGCCAAGCTATCAGAGGCTCTGTATGTGGCAGAACAGAAAGCTAGGGAGGCAGTTGCAGTGAGATCAAAGGTTCAGAAGGAGATGATGATGAAAGAAAAGGAGAAGAAAGAGATGGAACTCCGGGAGCTTGCTCGCCAGGCAAGAAAAGAGAGAACCGGTGTGGCTACAGCTACTGCCGTGACAGTGCCTCCTTCCGAAAGGGGTGGTGGCATGGATGATTCCGATATGCGCATGAACTACGAGCGCCCGAGGGATGTTCATCCAAAGGAATCGAAAGAAGAGAGAGAGGAGAGGCTGCAGAGGGAAAAGATTCGTGAGGAGCGTCGCAAGGAGAGAGAGAGGGAAAGGAGACTCGAGGCAAAAGATGCTGCAATGGGGAAGAAGAGCAAGATTACCCGCGACAGAGATCGTGATATCAGTGAGAAAGTCGCACTTGGAATGGCATCGACCGGGGCGAGAGGGGGTGAAGTTATGTATGATCAGAGGCTGTTCAACCAAGAGAAAGGGATGGATTCCGGTTTCGCTACGGACGACGCTTACAACATCTATGACAAGGGGTTGTTCAATTCTCAGCCCACTTTAAGTACTCTGTACAGGCCCAAAAAGGATGCGGATGATGAGATGTACGGCGGTGCTGACGAGCAGATGGAGAAGCTGATGAAAACGGATCGCTTTAAGGCTGACAAACAATTTGCAGGTACATCTGAGAGGACGGGGCCGAGGGACAGGCCGATGGAATTTGAGAAAGACCAACCAGCTGAAGAGGATCCGTTCGGTTTGGATCAGTTCTTGACGGAGGTTAAGACCGGTAAGAAAGCAATGGACAAGGTGGGGAGTGGAGGTACATTGAAGGCCAGTGCTGGATCGATGCGAGATGGGTTCGAGGGATCGGGTAGATCAAGAATTGGCTTCGAAAGAGGGCGCTAAGGTGATGTTGTTTACTTGTCTTGAATTCAATTCTGGCTTTACTAGTGCTTAAATAAAAATATGAAAATAGATTCGGTATGATCTTGGGGGTGGTGGCTGACGCTGCTGCATGTGAGTCGATCTTCTCCTTCTTCTTCTTCTGTGTGTAGACTTTGTGATTATACATACAGACAGTATGTTTGTGGCTTCCTTGCTTGGATTGTAATCGATGTTCTTGTGTTTCATTATCCTACCTTTTAATCTTAAAATGTTGTTTCATGGTTATGGATTTGACGACATTTTCAGGCAGTATAAAATACTAATGAATCTTATATGTCTTGGTAGATAGGATCTTGCTGCCTGTTTTCTTCATCAGCTACCCTTATCACCATCGTTTTGTTTGTTATTTTTATTTGTTTGTTATTTTTATTTTGTTTGTTTAATCGTATTGTTGATGCCGATTTTCAACAATAAAAAGTAAAGCCCGAAAATAAAAATTATCTATGAATTTGATAAAATAAAATGCACCGTACATACATAAATAAAATAGAAAAATAAATATCATCAAACAGCATCCGGCACATAGTTGCAATCTGGTGTGCGCAAGCACATGAAATGAGCTATGTGCACACTAAATACACCAAAAACTCTCTTTCGGCTCCAGAAACACAACAAAGACCTCCCTCATCTACTAAACACCATCAATCAAAATCCCAACAAGAATTGCTCCAATGGCTACAGAGGAAGGCCAGATTAAAAGTGGACTGGATATGGCAATGTAAGAGCAAGGAGGAACAGGAGTGGGAGAATATGCCTGTTTTAGATGGAGTGGGAGTATTATATGTTAAAGAGGGGAAGCACAGAGGCAAACATTTCGACCAAAAACAAACTTCTCTATTGATTGATGATGATGATATGATATATACACATCTCCAACTTCAAGGAAAGCATCTAAAAATATAAAATAAAGATGGTTGGTTACCTTGCGAGCATCTGGAAGGATCTAGGCGACACCCCACCTAAATTATACACAGCTGCAGCAAATAATCGGCACTCTTTTATCTTAGAGAAAAATGTACCCTCCACCGGAACCATCAATCACAACATTCCTTGCATTTCTTTGAGGAGCACTTTTTACTCTCTCCATAACTTCATTGTCTTCTTCAGCAGTCATACCACAACTTAAAATGACTTGACTGTAAAGAGAAGAAAGGGCACAGCGGCCAGGCTGTACTTTGATTGCTATCGAATCAATATGTGATCTGGGCAAGCAAGGGGAAAGATCTCAGCTAACAAAATCGTATTTATGGCAGACGGCAGTAATTAAATTGCCCTCCTGCGTTACAATGTCATATATTTGGACTCCTAGCTGCAGTAAGAAAAGAAGTTGTGCTAAAACAATGCAAGAGCAAACCCATAAAAATGAATCAGATTAAAGTTGCATCAATCACATTACATGGAATTCACAAAGACAACTTATCCTGATCTTATAATATTGATCTTTTCAAACAGTTGATTCTACTAAATGAATTTTGAACAAAAAGTTATTCCTTGCTCATACATGAAACGAATCCAAAATTTGAATATCTATATCTATATAATGCTATAGCAATACTACCAACTTATGCATACATGCATAAGTACACTTATAGGAGGTGTTTACTGAAAAGGATAATTTGTATTAGTGTAAAATTACATAAAAGTATTCTTTACAATACCATGCATAACTATTTAGCATTGCTAACAAAAGCGAAATTATCCCATCGAAACTAGCATCCAAACAAATTGAAAGATCTGAGATTGAAATGGCTAAGAATTTGTTCTTGTAAACAAATACATAGTGGAGTTCATAGAAAAGTAATTCCCTCAACAGTTGTTTCTTAAGATACAACTTCTCAAGGTGAAGCTAGAGGCAAAAACAATACTATCACAAATTCTCAAAGAAGGCGTGCAGAACTCTTTAATCCCCAGAATTCAACATTAATAATAAGCACACAGATAGCTTAAAGATTTACATTGACCTAACAGATAGAATCTCCTGGTTTCCTGCATTAAATGCGTAATGGAATCCAATTCCCCGGAGATTGATCCGTAAAACACACAAATATGTGAATATAGAAACAAAATCATTCCCTATCACAATACATAGGACTCAGTAGTATTTTCTTGTATCAATTGAATAGCCATTCTTTTTACATCACATCTTTTGGTAGTTATAATCTAACTAATGAAAACAGGTCAACCCTGACCATTTATCAAGTCCATGCGCAGATTGTAACTTTGCTGGAGCACCAAATGCAATCAGTAATATAACAGGTTAGGAAGTATGCTATGCACTCTAAATCTAAAAATTAATAGAAAGGCTTCTTGTGTGAGTACCTGAAGAACGATTAGCACTGATCATATTACTCTCCAAGTTCTTGGCAGCGTCAATCATCCCTTTTGCCTGAAAAGCTTGGATCATTGTGGCAAATGTTATATTATCTGGCTTACACCCACATCCTTCCATTGCTATGAATAACTCCTGCATCCTTTCTATATCTCCAGCAACCCCGAATGCATTGATGATACAGTTGAAAAACACTGTATCAAGCACCACATCAGAACTCTCTATTTGCCTTAGAATGGCATCAACTTCTTCCAACCGTCCTGCTTTACTATAAGCACAGACAAGTGAACTGTAAGTAATAGTGTTTGGTTTCAACCCACGATGCTTCATTTGCAGAAACATCTCATTCATCTTTTCAATATCTCCAGCCTTCCCAAATATCTCGATCACAATGTTATATGTAACAGTCGTAGGAGAGAAAAATCTCCTCTCCATAAACTCCATCACTAATCCCATCTTTTGGTACAACCCAGAATTCCCATATGATTTAATCAAAATGTTGTATGTCATAATATCAGGCTCTAAGCCCATCAGCTGAAACTCATCGAACCACTTCTCCATTTCCTCAATCTTCCCACATCCACCATAAGCCCCAATAACAGAATTAAAAGTAAAAATATCTGGACAGCATTCACCACTCTGAATCATCTCTGTCAAAGAGTTGTCCATCTGTTCAAAACGCTTAGCCTTTCCATATCCATGGATAAGTGTGTTGTAGGTCACGGTGTTACATTTAACTCCAAAACATGACATTTCCTCTAAAATAACCTTGATCATTTCAAACCGATATTGTTTAACACAACATTTGATAAGAATGGAGTATGTGAATGCATCAGGTTTGCAATCGCCAGTGGACTTCATATTCTCAATAATACTAAATGCCTCATCAAAAAGGCCATTCAGAGCAAAAGCACCCACGAGTGCAGTGTACACATCAACTGTTGGTCGGAGGCCATCAGATAGCATGGTCTCGAAAAGCAAACTAGCCTGATTTGGTTGCTTGCACTCTCCGAGCATTACTAAAAGCTTTGTATATGTCTGAGACCTCGGCACATACCACTGTTGCTGACGCAGAAGATAAAATATCTACATACACAAGAAAGTGAAATTTATTTGTAACAAAACAGGAAACATTCTGTGCTACTCCACATTAGACAAAATTTATATGTGAAAAGAGCCCTCTTGCCTCTAGATTAAGAAATGATATCTCCATACCAATGTGCAATACTGAAAGTTAGTATCTAACGCCAGGCAAAAATCAATTTAATAGTAAAAATCACTGAATAAATACCCAAAAAAAAAGAAAATCTCTTAACAATCTCTCCCCAAAAAAGCATACAAGTTGCAAGAAATATGCAATGCTTTTGCAAATGCTTGTTGCATTCTGTAATTATGCATACTCGTGATAGAATTTCATGTTCAATAACAAATTTACAAGTATTTTCTGGAAATCAAAGCCAAAATGTTGTTGTACTTGCTTGAGCGACTTTGAATTAAGATGCAGCAGAAATTCATTCAAAATAAAAACTGTAGGAAATAATAATAAACCTTAAGAGCAGACTCCCAACGGTTTCTCTTAATTGCGTTACTCAGAGCTTCCAGTACAGCCTTAGGCCAGAGATTGTTGTACTTTGAAGAGTTCGCCTTCCTTTCAATCTGTTCAATCGCCGCTTCCGTTCGTAGGATTCTCGAGAGGTCTTTTTTCGTAAACTTGCGAAATTGAATGCTTTTCGGGTTAAAACTGTTGCTGTTGGATTCCGATATTCTATCCGACGATGATTTTGCCTTGAAGGCGGCGGGGCGGAGATCCGCTGAGTTTAGGAGGCGAAAATCCATCGCCGGGAGGCTCTTGTAGATAATGAAGTCAAATTAGTAGAGACGGCGGAGTGGAAAAGGAGGAGGCGAGCGAGAAAGAGAGTTAGTTGGTGGCAGTGTCACCATTGTTGGGAATTGCAGGCGAAGAATGTGAGGATGAGGAGTCGTGGATACCCATCCGCTTCCGACAGCCAGTTCGTCGGTGCTCGAAGGTTCAAATTTAGACTTGCTCATTCGGTTCGAACCGGCGGTTTCGTTAAACCGAGTTCAAACCGAACCGAAAAACCATTGGTTTACTGTTTGAACCGGCTTGGACAATATATTATATATATATTTTTTAAAATATGTCCGCCCAAACCGGCGGTTCAAATCGGAATTGCCGTTTCGGTTCCAAATCGCCGGTTTGGACGGGTTTAATTTCAAATCGAAACCGTTGACTTGGAATAGAAATCGACGGTTCAAATTTGAACCGCCGGTTTAGACAGGTTTAAATTTTTAAAGTGAACGGTCCAAATTAATTGACGCAGGTTCGACGGTCAAGATTCGATGAAATAAAGAAACAAAAATTGTTTTACAATTGTGAAAATAAATAAGGGTAAATTATACTAACATTCCATTGTGTTTTAGTAAAAATGCACAAAATACTGTATGTTTTATTTATTGCGTGAAACCCTCCAAACTTTAATTTACTCAAATTTTATATAAATAAAAAATATAAAATATTTTAAATAAATTTTTTTGAATAAAATAAATAAATAATTAATTGATTTTAAAATCAATTAATTATTTATTTATTTTATTCAAAAAAAAAACTTAAAAAATATATAAAATAAGAATTAATCAATTAATTATTTATTTATTTTATTCAAAAAACTTATTTAAAATATTTTATATTTTTTATTTATACAAAGTCTAGTTTTTTAAGCACCTGTGGGGTGTTTACCCACAAGGAATGGTTGCAAATAACCCTCTCAGTTGGAGGAAGGAACACGAATTCGGGGAAGTCATATATCTAAGGAATGGTGGGTTTGCTATGATATGTTTCTTTGAGGTCTGATTTAAATAAGCAAGTCATGTTTTAATTTTGTGGTGCAAATAAGTGGATCAAGTAACCTGGAAAAAAAAAAGGATGAAATTAAGGTAATATTTACATTTGTTACATGAAGTTGCGACTAATGTTACGTAAGGAGTGCTTTCAGGGCGGTTACTAGGTCCGTCAATTTCTGTTCGATTCGGACCATTTTTCTTTGATGGACGGCCCTTTGGTGCTCCTGCACCAGCCTCGACCGAATGCCTGCTTGGAGTTGGTCATGGAGGCTGGCGCGAGTCTGGGGCTGCTCCTCCACCAAGCGACTTTCCTCCTGGATGCAGCCGTCTAGTGTCTCCAGCTCTTTTTGAAGGTTTTCGAGTTCCTTTATTTTTTGAGAAATTTCAGCAGCCAGATGGTGGCGCGCTTGCTGGAGTTCACTCAACCTATTAGAAGCTTCATTGAGGACCGCTGCTGCTTTGGACAGAGACGCTTCGATGGTTGCAGTGTCAGGCATGGGCTGAGACGGTGCAGAGTCAGACGTTGGGGGTCGAATCAAAGGTAGGTCGGTTTGAGGTTCAATGATCCTCTCCATCATCCGACTGAGGAAGGGTGCCACAAAAGACTCAGCAGGAGTCTGCACCAATAAGTCAATGGCCACCTGAGCTAGGGAGTTTAGATCCTCAGAGCTCAAGTCGGCCAATGACAGGTCGGCGCAGCGCATTACTACTAGTCGGGCAGATTCTAGTAATGGCACTTTGGTGAGGAAAGTAAGCTCACGAGTAGCCTGTTTAAGTAGGTTAGAGTGATCAGAGATTCATAAGTAAAAGTAAACTAATACAGTAATATTGAAGTTACCTAGTGGAGGACAAGGAGTCGGCAGAACAGGAGTTAGCGGGGGAGGACCAGGTTGGATCCTCGTCCAAGCAACCGATTTGGCGGCCGTGGGGTGTGGACCTATGAAGCCTGGCTTCGAACCCTGAAAATGTAAGATTTCAAGTCAAAGAGAGTTGGGATTAACATAAGGGGATGAAGAGAAGGAAAAATACTAACCACGGCTTCGCGGTTCTGATTAACAGAAGGGTCGTCCGACTCCGAAGAGGAGACGTCGACTAGCTCTAAATGTTGGACTGGCTCAGGGTCCGCTTGGACTGGTTGAGGGTCTGCTTGAACCGGTGCAAGGACCGGCGGGACTGGCTCAGGGTCCGCTTGGACTGGTTGAGGGTCTGCTTGGACTGATGTAAGGACCGACGGGGCTGGCTCTGCGGTCGGTTGAACCAGATCAGGGACCACCGACGGTTGGTGTTCGGTGACCGTTGGTTCGACCACCGGGTCGGCTGCCACAGGCCCCTGAGATAAGGAATATAATTTAGACTCTAGATAGGAAGCATAATTTCACAACTTGCTCTATACTCACCGAGAGCATGTATGACCGAGAAGGGGTAGAAGTCGATGAGGAAATCTGCCTCAACATCGGGTCCTCCTCCCAATGAATCACTGGCGGTCCTGCCGATGGAACGGCCGACTGTTGGCCGACCGGGATAGCTGGTCGGGAAGGGGTGGAGGTTGATGAGGAAACTGGCCTCAACGTCGGGTCCTCCTCCTCACGCATCACTGGCAACTCTATCGGTGTAGCGGCCGGTTGTTGGCCGGTCGGGGCAGCAGGCGGGGAAAAGGTAGTATGCGCCCAGGAAAAGAGGCAAAGTTAGAAATTATAATTGTGAGAAGTGGAAGAGTTTTGGGAATTACCTCTGGGATGGCTGGTAAGGCGGCTGGCAAAGTAGCTGGTAAGGTAATTGGTCGGATGCTTTGTTGATTGGTAGGTTTGGCGGATGATGGATCGGCCGACCGGTCGGTTGGTTGATCGGCAGGCTAGGTAGTCTGTTGCTCAGCAAGCGACTCTGAAGAAAAAAAAAACTTGTCAAGAATATATTGAAGGAAAAACAAAGTTAAGGTTATTGTTTATCCTTATCCAAGTGTCGGCGCATGTTGGCAGACAACCAGATGGGGTCCACAGGTAGGGACACCAGATAAAGGTGACGAGCCCAAAGCAAGGGCTGGAGGAGTCAGTTTCTCCAGCAACTGTCAGTAGGAAGGGCCTCCACGGCCCAAGTGACTGACCACCAAGAAGGGAAGGTATCCACCGCCTTGGGGTCATGACGGAAAGGAAGGTAGGAGTTGGAGGTGATATAAGAAGACAGTTGGGATAGGTAAGGTAAAATTAAAGAAGGGACCACTCGCCCGTCGGGACTCTGAGTTATTAAGTGTGGTCGGGCGAGTGGACCCGGCAGACCTTGACAGCAGCCGAACTGTCGAGACAAAAATTGCGGCTGCTAGTTGAAAGTATAAAAAGACATGTGGTTTTTCTTGTCAAACCTGGGACTAGAAAAAAGAGATCGTGGCTTGAGAGCTGAGTCTCAGGAATGAGGATAGGTCGGGTGAGGTAAAGGGTTTGGATAAGGATGGGGGTAATTGGTATCCGAATAAGGCCAAAAAAGTTCAGTGATGTACTGAACGTAAGTCTTATAAACAAAAAATTTTGAATTGCTGCGGTCATCGGAGAGAATGGCCTCAATTACAGGGTCGGAAGGGTGAAGAGTAGAAGAGTTAGGGGTTAGCTGAGCAAGAGCCAACCCAAGAGACCTATGGGTATTCGGGGATATGGGTAGGGGACCAAAAATTGCTTTCGAAAAATAAAGTCTCAGCCAAAGTTCAAAAAATCAAAAAGGACCAGAGCCAGCTGTGTCCACCCTCTTGGTGTCTAGAAGGCGGTCGCTGACCCTGGATAAGCCCTCATACAAATTGGCCAAAAAGAGGGTCCCTAAGGAAAAGAAGCTACCACTGGCTAGGTGGATGGCTAAATCTACTTGCAAGGTCAAAATTGATTTGGAAGAATAAAGGATTATATATCTGAAAAAGAGGGTATAAAGGATAAATCAAAATACAGATAAATATACAAAATGAATTAGATAGAGGAAATTATGTACCTGGATAGCCAGAACAGCAGAAAGGCGGTGTGCTCCAAGGCAGTTACTGGAGAACCCTTTGTACCCTGATAGCGGAGGACAAAGTTGGTCCAGCTGCATTCCTTCTCAGGAGTGCGAGCGAGCGACCAGCCTTCATGGTCGGGCGCTGGTTCTTGCCCCTCCAGCGACCCCAGAACAGGGTCATCACCAACCACTGGGAGATGGGCAATCATGGCCACATCCATTAGGGTTGGGCTAATCGGGCCAGTTGGGAGAAGGAAAATGCCCAGTTGGGCATTCCAAAAGGCCGCCATAGCCAAAAGAACTTTGTCGTGAAGGTACAGGGGTTGGGTGGCGAGGAAGATAGCCTTATCAATCCCCTGTCGTCGCCATTGTACATAAAAAACAGGAGATAACCTAGAATACCAGGAACGAAAGGCATCTTTGGGATCGGTAAGATGTGTTTTGATATGGTCATTGATGCGTTCAGGTTTGTAATCATGGCTGTTAATGGCTAAGGGGGTGACAGAAGAAATAACACTCCTCATGCGAGAAGCATCTTCATGGGAGGTGCAATAGGGACGAAGAGTGAGGGTAAGAACAATGGAAGAAACAAAAGGGATTTCTGGAGTGGGACATATTGGTTGGCCATGGTTGAAAGGAGACGAAGCTCGAGTGAGAGAAGAGAAAATGTATAATCGCAAAGGGAGAAAAGTAACTAGAGAACGTAAGGAAGAAGATGAAGATGAAAGGGTTTTAAGTGGGGTTTTTGTTTCGATTAGAGAACGTAATGATGAACAGACTCCCTGATCACATCACACATCTCACACTAATCGAGAAGTGACGACGGGGAGCCGGGCGGGAGGAGGCAAATTTGTTAAATATTTTAGGTTTTTTTTTTAGGCCTGTGGCTAGATTCCAACAGTGGGGCCCACAAATAAAACCCACAAGAGGAAAGTAGGCTTCTAGGGGCCCATTTGAAAGAAATGTTTGTTAATTGGTCGCTTAATTTAGCGACTGTTAATCGCCTGATCGATTGGCCGGTTATTTGGTCAAATAGTAGTTCAGTCGCTTGAAAGGGCGGTCAGTTGGTCGCTTGAATGGGCAATCGATTAAATCGTCTAGACGGATAATTGTTCAGCCGATTGAAGGGACTAGATGGTTGTCGCTTGATTGGGCGATCGATGAATCGTCTGAACGAATGGTTGTTCAGCCGTTTGAAGGGATTGAATGGTGGTCGCTTGAGTGGGCGACTGATTAGTCGTTTGGTCTAGCAACCAGTTAGTATCTGGATTGGTCGGTTGGTCAATCGTTGGGTTATTCGGTAGGTTCAGTCGGTCGCTAGACCAAACGACTAATCAATTGCCCATTCAAGCGACCACCATTCAGTCTTTTCAAACAGCTGAACAACCATTCAAGCGACCACCATCCAGTCCCTTCAATCGGCAGAACAACCATTCGTCCAGACGATTCATTAGTCGCCCAATCAAGCGACCAACTGACCGCCCTTTCAAGCGACTGAACTACAGTTTGGCCAAGTGACCGGCCAATCGATTAGGCAATTAACAGGTCGCTTAAATAAGCGACCAATTAACAGATCTTTCTTTCAAATGGGCCCCTAGAGGTCCACTTTCCTTTTGTCCGACCTCCGTGTCTGCCATCTCATCTTTCTTCGCCTGACCTTCAATTTGACCGACCTCCGCGTCTGCCATCTCATCTTTCTTCGCCCGATTTCCTTTTGACCGACCCCCGTGTCTGCCATCTCATCTTTCTTCGCCCGACCTTATCTTGTCCGACCTTTTATCGGCCGTCTCATCCTTCTTCGCCCGACTTCATTTTTTCTGACCTCCGAATCGGCCGTCTCATCCTTTTTCGCCCGACTTCATTTTTAGAAACCCTATACATTGGTTTTTTCTTACTCAATAATATATATCACAGAAAAGATAAGCAGAGAGAATTGTATCTTTGGTGTTTTATTCAATTACAGTCTTCTATTGATATATATATATATATATGCATATAGTTCTATTGTTCTGATTGGAAATTTGGGATGTTTTGTCTTATTGAAGTAAATATTGGGAGCAAAAATCATTTTTGGTCCCATTCAATATCATAATTATCAATTTTGATCTCATTCAATACTTTTTTATCAATTATGGTCCCTACGGATTGACTGAGACTGAACAACTCTGTTTATTATTATTATTTTTACTTTTTTTATTAAAATTATTTGATATATATATATATTTATAATTCAACAAAAAATATATATAATTATTAAAAAAATTTATTTGAGTGAAACCAAAATTAATAAAAAAATTTGAATGAGACCAAAATTATGAAATTTGAATGGTACCAAAAATAAATTTTTGCTCAAATATCGGATATGTCTTCTTTGGTTATGCTTTTAGATTTCAAAATTTTCTTCAGAGTCCTAATAGGTACTGCACTCGAAAGTCACTCACAGCAGAATGGAAAATGCTGAAAGACCCTGAGAAGAGAAGCATAATTAGAATTACACTATCGTAATTGTGTTGTTTGTCTGTAACAATGGCTGTCATAACTTGAAGCTTCAAAGTGTATCAAAAACATAAGATTGATTATGCACGTGACGCAAAGGCATGTTTCTGAGTCTTGAGGCCGAACAAGTTTTCGAATAGTTGGGGGGCTGCTGGGGGGAGCTTCATGGGCTGAGGGGCCATGAAATTAACTATCTTTTCATGAACATGGTACCTACAATGTTGTTCCAAGAGTTAGTATGATGCAAAAAGAGGCAATGGAATCGAAACTTAGCCACATGCAAACTTACCGGATCTTGCGACTCTTTGAAGCGCCACAATCAACTAGTTTTCGCTTCTTCTTAGTTTGCAGTCTTTTTGTTGCATAGAAAGCCAGTTCTGTTTTTTACAGGAAAAGTACGTGTAAGAAATTATTGGCATGTAAGCAAGTGAGACATGTGTTTTGCACGAAACCAAGACTGAAAATTTACCCGATGATGATGGGTCGATTGTCTCAAAGAACTCTTTCAGCAACTGCTGGTAGAATTCCGAGTCATCTAGAAGTTCAGGGTCGACGTTTACAAGTGCACCCTGAATTGGATATCGTAAAACATGATTAAACAAAAAAATAACTTCTCAAATTCTCTACTACAACTCTCAGAGTAAGTTATGAACTAAGCATAATTAAACAGGTACTTCTTGCTTGAGATTTTGAGTAGAATCCGAAACCTGAAGAAAAAACTGAAGCACATTAAAATACGCATACATATATGTGCGATAGAGAACAAGTTTGTATTTATCAATTTTATAGAAGGAGAAATTTCAAACCAACATTTCCAAATACAGCAACAGCTGATTTATTCTGCTGCATCCCCTTGATCATTTTACTCGGATCCCTCATGTAGGCAGACACTTGTTCACTTATACTCTGAAAAGAATGCGAGTAGTATTAAGTTGCAGATTTGTTTGCATTTGTTGTCCCTTAAGATTATCTTTTCAAGTTTTGAAGCAAAACCTGGTTGAAGGCATGCAATTTATCTTTAATTGCAGCTCTACCGGTTGTCACTTGGGTTTTCCTATGCCATTTGTCAATCGATTTGTTTCTGAATGAAGCCATTCTGTCGTATAAAAAGATTAAAATCAATTAGTGTAGATCAAGATAGGTATATAAGGATAATAGGTGCTGCCTGGGTGATGGGAGTACCTTGATTGCATTTCAGAAATCTGCAACCATTCTTCGTCAAGATCCATATCTGAGTTTTCAGAAGCTTCTAATTGCTTGGATTTTGCAGTGGAATCATCTTTAGGAGAAACAATTATAGAACAGTTTAGCACAAGGACTCGATTCAAAAGAAGATATAAGTGGGTAATAACAAAAAGGATTCTAGTATGAAGATAGTAGCCTAAAATTATTAAAATGATGATCCACCAGTAAAATAAATATGATTGGCAGACATTATTTATATCTATTTCGAATTTCGCACAGCACATTAAAAACATACAATCCATTTAAAAGTTGTAGAAAGAATACTATTGTGGTAAAAACAACTATGAATGAAAGAAAATAGATTAGTTTACGTAAATCTCAAAGAATAGAAAGAATAAACCTAATATTAGTTCAAGGCAGCGAAACTGAGGAGAATCGATCAGAATGGATAGCTATCGGGTTGTTAATCTTCACATTGAATTTAAAAGAGAAAAGGAAGGAGAAAGGCAGTATTACCTTCTCCAATGATTGAGGGATTATTTGCTATCAGTGCCTGCCAAATTAGGGTCCATTATTAGCAAGAAATAAAATTTTATCTTGATGAGGTGTAAATGGCAGTAAAATACAATTGGAGTACCTGTTGTAGCTCCAGTATAGAATCCAATGTCTTCTTCGACGAAGCAATCAATTCTGAATATCCTTGGCCAACGTCACTGTCAGAATCACAAAACGATGATCTAATTGGTTCCTGCACACACAAATTCTTCGCATACTTATGATGTTTCCACATAATCAATTATAAGATCAGAAATCCAAAATCTCCGAACCAGGGGGAGTCTGTTTGAACTTGCAAATGATTTCTGCAGCAAGAATCTGAACTCAAGCGTCTTGTCCCAAAGAGCCTAATCAAATAGGAAAGGAATGAAGTATATCAGCAGCTTAAATGGCATAAAGGTGGAGACAGTAGACTAACACCTAGCTAGGAAAACATATAATGGAACATAACTGCACAAATGATCACCAGGATATTAAAAAATTTAAACCAGCTAACAAAGAAAATCATCATATGAGTACGGGCAGGAAAGTGAACAACAAAGCATTCTAGAAGAAGCAGTTAGGTTATATCCACTTTTCTGCAGTGGATAACTAAATTATTATATCACACTGGATTGTATTTTCTTTCTCCACCATAGTGATTTCACAGACAACATACCCTTTGATTTTTAACTGCTTGACCCTTTTGAATATCATCATCTTTAGAGTGCTTTAGATTCCTCCAAAGATCCCTGTGTCGTGCCAAGAAACAAGACAGGTTAAAGCTCTGCTCTCAAAACCAGTCAAAAATTCAAATATGGAGAATATTACTATTTCAGAATAAGTTAATTGGTTTGAAACGTTTAAATTACCACATTCTTTATACATGAAAGCACAAGAAAAATTTCTATATTCAACTCAAAATCGACTGCCTGTAAATCATACTGACCCTCGCCGACACCAACCATAGGATATCTATCTAATGAAAAGTCCATCTACAATTCTTACAACCACAATGTGAAATAAGAATCAATTTATCCTAGAACAATCAATGAATTAACTAGAGAGATAAGGAAAGCCAAATCAATGCGGCAACACACGATATCACACATTGCATTGCTTAAGTATGATTTATCAAACAAGAAATTCTTCTATTTGGTTCCTTTGAATTGGCTCCCCAATCAAGTTATGTAGAGATTCTGGTTTAATGAAAATCAAAGATACAACAGTATCATATGTTGTGGTCTTTGATCTTTCACAATCGCTCATGGCAGAAGTTACTATAACATTTACTAATACTAAAATAATTAAAAATATAACTCTGAATACTTACTGCTCCTTGCTTCGAAGCTCTTCATACTCCTTCTCCAGCTCTTCCATCTCATGGCCTTTCTGAGCATTGAGAGCAGTATGCAGATCATCATCATCTTCGGAATATTCCTTTCCAACCTCGTCTTCATCCTCCTCGCTCTCTTCATCAGCTTCCTCTCCCTCTTCGTCATGATCCAAATCAGCCTCATTCAAGTCATCTGTATCATCATCTTGAAATTCGCCATCATCGATTTTATGTACCTGTTCAAAGGTGAGGAACACGAAGAAGATGATTGAAATCTATACTTTATTGAGCAACAACAATACAATTAAATAAAACAAGACACGTGACGGTACAGACATCCACGAAATCCTCTTCAAACTCAGGGTCGAGTTTCTCAACTTCGCTTTCGCTCTCCACCTTCCTCAATTTCTTCTTCCCCATTCTCAACAGAAAAAAATACCTAATAAAATCAACATAGGAGAACATACTTCATTGATATCAATCAGAAACCGAAAATACTTCAAAACTTAGCGCAAATTTCGGGAGAAAAACACGAGTGCGATAACAATGGGTGGAAGTACCGAGTTTCGACGAATTACCAGGATATAGGTGAAGAACACGTCCAATTTTAGGAAGGAATTTCAACGAACACTTGGTCGGCAACAGAGGTGTCTACTGATGGGATGGGACGAAGAAGCAAGAACAGACTGAATAAACAGTCGGCTAGGTTAGACTTGCTCAATCTGTTTCGAACCTGCGTTTGGAACCGCCATCGAGCCGAAACCGGTTATCTCACGGTTCGGTTTCGGATTCTCTTTCCTACGAACCATAAATCTCCGGTTCGAACCGGCGGTTTTGTATCTTTTAGTTTTAAAAAATATGCTATTAACCTGGTGGGAGCGTGAATGGCGATGGAGCACCGGGGTGGGAGTAGGAAAAGTAAAAAAGAAGAAAGAACAAGAAAATTGGAGAAGGAAACTGAGATGAAGGTGAAGGTGAAGAAGAAGAAGAAGAATGGGAGAAGAAAGGAAAGAATCGGTGAAGGTGAAGAAAAGAAGAAAGAGGAAGAACCTGGTGGCTGCCTTGGCTAGTGCGGCTGCGGCTGCTGTGGTGCGGTGTGGTGTGGGTGTGTAAAATAATTTATTAGGTCGGGCAAATTTGTATGTTTTAAAATTATAATAATATGTTTTAACTTAAACTTTTTATATATTATCAATTTTTTTATTAAATAAAAAATTATTAATAATATTAAAAAATACTAATACTAATACTAATACTATAATATTATTTTTTATTTATATTTTGTAATTTGTAATTATATTATCAATATTTTTATAATTTATTTGTATTTTTTTAATTTATAATTTAATTGCTTATTAAATTTATTGTTTAAATTATTTTTACATTATAACAATCTAATTAATTATTATTCATATAATGAATATATAATAAATAAATTTAAATAAAAAAAAATAATTATTTTTAAATAAAATTCAAATTTTAGAAAATTAGAAAATAAAAAAAAATATATTAAAAATAAATATATATAAACCGACGGTTCAAACCGTAACCGGCTGTTTATAAACCGAAACCGACGGTTTATAAACCATAATCGAAACCGTCATTCGAAAAATTCGATTTCGATTTGACATTTTGATAAATCGTAACTGCGACTTGAACCGTTTGGGCAAATCTACATCCCACAAGTTCACCGGCAGCAGCAGCATCCCATTTAATATATCTTTTTCCGCAACAAACTACAAACTACAAACAACAAAAACATCAACTCAGCTTCCAATTAGAGAGCTGTAGCCAACAAATCAAATTTGTCAATCTTAGATAACATTAAATACCTACTATAGTTGGATAATGATTAGCGCGACTTGTTTGAAAATATACATACCAAAACTACAATCAAAATGCATATACAAAAAACTGTACATTAATCTCATAATTATATATGTGTATAAAGTCTTATGCTAAATAACTAAAAGCAATAATAATCAAATCATTACTGCTATAATAAGTACATAAATAATCAAAGATAATAATCAAATTCAAAATCTGTGTGTGCATAAAAACACTGGAATGGAGCAGTGGTGGTAGCAGACAACTGCTCTGTGGTGGTGCAATAGCGGCACTATCACCCGCCATTGACTACTATCCTAATAACAGAAGATAAGAATGCCATAGTTTTAACAAAATCATGTAGACAGAGTGATAGACTAACCGACCTTCAATCAGAATCTGATGTTTCTTCGAATTCTGGTTTCAACTTTGCTACCATATTTGACAGCGTCTCTACCATATCTTCTACATCCTCATCTCCAAATCCCCAACTTCTCAGTAACTCTGCCCCAAGTGCTCCTCGTCCAATGCCAAACTTGCCAAGGCTTCCCAGTCTATTCTCCAGAAACGGCAAAACACCATTGCTGGAACGTAGTTTTGCTGCCATGGGGATCGAGTGGACTTCAAGTGACCCCCTTGATGGAGAGTCGGAAATGGGGGCATCCAAAAGCTCACCATTTTGGCCAACATGGTTCCCAAATATTGTAGGGAAAGGCAACGGTATTGGAAGTGGACACCGGGCAACAGATAGATGGGAGAATTTGGGCCTTTCTTCTGCACTTAAATAAGCAGCTTGGACAGCTTCCTGAACTTGGGAAACTAAGGCTCTTTTGCTTCCTGATTTCAGATACAAACAAAAGAATAGATGTCTCATACACAGCTTAAGCATGTAATGTTAGAGTTAAGATCATATGAAATTAATATTTCTCACAAACAGCATTCTACATGTTAATGGCCATTTCTCTGCTAAAGGTATCCAGCACTATCAATTTTCTTTTATACAATGCAAGATTTTGCAAAACCTTGAATTGAAGGCATAGATATGGATCCCATGTATCAATGCTTCTATCCTTTTAGCTTCTCAGGAAGAAATTCAGGATATCACAAGAAAATATCCCAAAGAACATTCTCAAAACAATGTTAACTAGAAAGACTTTTCATTTTTCAACTTGTGCATATAGCGGTATTCAGGATATAGCAGAATCTAGAGAATAATTGCTTAAGAACATTCAAGTTTACAGGTTCAGAGGGAACTTAACCTGATCCAAAGACCCCATGGATGATCATAGATTCCAAAGCATGCATGTCTTCAACATCGGATATTTCAGGACTAATTGGCTGCAACTGCTTTAATAAAGATTGTTGGACCTGGACAGCTGTTTCAAGTGATATAAAAATTTCAGCGATGGCTGATTCCTGATAATGGGGCAGTAAAATTTAAACTATATAGAACCTGTCAAAGCTGGAGCCGGCATTGCAACATCCAGTGTAACAACCATGTTCTGCCGATCCCGGCCTGCTAACATTTGGACGAGGTCATTGACACTCAAAGCACCACATGTGTGGCTCAACTGTGCACTAGGCCCCAGTGTATCCATTCTGAAAGGGAGACTGACAGAGTGTATCGCAGATGCATAAACTGCACTGGTGTGATAAGGTTTTTTATCTTCCAAATGGAGGTGCTTTGACATCTTACCTTTAAATAGACAAATAGAAGTTATCTAAATGCCGTGGCTACAAGCACATGCCAAGTGCAACGTACCGGTTACATGTAAAAACAAAAGAGAAGTGGAAACCACTCAAGCACACCAAAATACAAGGGAGAGGTTAATCTGAATTGTTAAAAAGACATTCATGTTTAATTACTGCAATGTCGCTTACCAATTAAACTTAACTCCATGTGATAACAAAAATATGCACAAACTTATTCACTAAATAGGGGTGAAAATTAACCACACTAGATGAAAATTGTGGTTGATTTATATACTATGTATATAACAGAACATCCCAAAAGCTTATTGGATATACAACTTAAGCCAGCAACATATAACTTAGCATTTAACATTCATATCAAGCATTTGACATGCAATGTTAAGTATTCAACATTTTTTTAAAATTTTACAACTAATACTTAGCATTTAACATCCATAGCAAGCATTCAACATGCAATGTTAAGTATTAACCATTTTTTAAAATTTTAATAAGCATCTTCAAACAAAATTTCTAATCTCCTTAAGCAAAGAGATACATAATATTTTAAAGAAGTGGGCAATATTAGCCAGGATTAATAAGCATGAAGCCATGAACTTAAGTTTGAAGTGACCCTTCAACTAATCAAAACTACAACAAGCATATGTTTGTTTAAATGTTGCAATTGAAATACTATAAAAGGTCAGTATTATTAGAATTTCCAACTTCAACTGTTATTGCAACTCTAAAAGAAAGTAGATGATCATTTGTCACTATAAACAAGCAGTTCTCTTAATATAAATTAAAGAGTCCCTTACGGCTATGAGATTTAATTTGAGAGTTGGGAGAGTTAATAGTCGGCATCATCAGCTTTTCAGTTCCATACAATTATCAATTGTTGTATTGTGGTATCTATTAGGTCTCACAGAGAAACAACCAGAAAACTAATAATACTTTTCAGTTCCATATAATTATCAATTGTTGTATTGTGGTATCTATTAGGTCTCATAGAGAAACAACCAGAAAACTAATAAAGAAGTGTCTTTCGTATGATCAAGATTCTTACTCATACTTGGCGATGGCAGACCAATCGGAACAATCATTTTACAGAATGATGACAACTTGGCGAATGAAACTGCATCATGAAGTTTACGGGATATTGCCATTTTGCGGTTTTGGGAACCTAGGCAAGTGTCAGGAGCATGAACAGAGTACAATAGGACTGGAATGTTTGGGTACTCATCAGAAATATTCTCTAGAAACTCCGCTGCTAAACCAGAGAAGCCCCCAAAATCATCAACAATGAATTGAATTCCCTGTTCAAGGAAATCAGTATTGAAATTCAAACACAGAAAAATAAGGTGAATAGAAGTATAATGGATACTAAATAATTGGATGCTCTACAACATTATGTTTTGTATGATAGTAATTCAAAATGTTAATTCCACGTAAATGTTTTCTTAAAAGGAAAACTTCTAATGCATCTTTGTGCCAAAGTGAACTGAAGTGATAAAAAGGTTTTCGAAGAGAACCCTGAAACTTTCAATAGTTTAGACAATTGCAAGTCTTTTATATTCAGCGGCAGGCAGACCAATGCCCCAAGTCCATCATTTACAAGTTGCACCGGTAAAACCAAAAGCTCTTAGTTATCATGCATGTACAGTACCTGAGGATGGTCACTTTCTTCAATGAAAAAGCGAAGTCTCTCATTAATTTCTTCTGTGTGTACACCTGAAAATGCCTCTTTTCCAATTCCATAATTTTTAAATTCTTCGAGGTCCATCCACATCCCACTCAATTCATACAAACTCTGAGGGTGATAATGAACTTTTGAGAAATCTGTCCAATACTGAACTTCATTTTCGAGACTTTCGACAATGTCCTTATCAGGAATTTCAGTATGGAAAGCATTGTCACTGCTGTCACAACCTCCTGAGCTACCCAAGTTTTCATTTTCTTCCAAGTGCAAACTTTGCAAGAACAAATTCTTCTTTATAGGCTGAGATGTTTGAATTGTTACAGGACCTGTCCTACAAATTTTTCTGAATATTCTTAGTTCAGGCAGTGAATGCAAAAACCAGGATGCAATTTGCAATATATGAAGAACAAAGCATGAAATAAGAGCTTCCAAAAATGCAGCTAAGGCTTAAATTCACCATTTTTAAGGAGCACAAAAATTAAAATGGAAATAAACCTCCACTTTCCGAAGGCAGTGATAACAACTATGAGTGTTAGCATTTCCATTCTTTAAAAACATTATAAAATGGACCAAGTTCAAGGTCTGAGGTAATATAGCATTTCAGGCATTTGAACCATAATATGGATAGAGCTTCCAACATCTAAAGGCAGTATCAAGAGTCGCCAGTCTTTCAGATAAGATAAAGTCAAGACCAAAGACACAGATCTTTTGTGCATATAACAGTGTAAAAAAAAAAAACAGAGAAGTACAACATATCGAGAATTTAGATCCATTTCTGAGGGAAGAAGAGGAAAGGATGTGTAGGGAAAAGGATGTAACCATAATGCTTTTCAGTTAAGTCCCTCACCCAATTTAACAACAACTGAAAGAAATAAATATCTTTTAAATAAGATCATGTGATATAAAGTAGTACTCAGATTTCAATGTAGCAAGTAGCATAAAATTGAAAGAGATGCATCACAGAAGCAGTGAAAAAACAAACAAACAAATCTAGAGATGAGAGCCTCATTACACACAGAGCTACACTTGCATCCACTTACAGCAAAATTCAAAAGTATATTTCATACAATATGAAAGAAGAATTAACATCACACCATGTAATATTATCCGTTGACGTTTCTGGGGCTTCATTGTACAAAGATCCCCGCGAACCCACTGATCCTAGGGATCCTGTTGAAAGACACGCAGCAGCAGCAGCAGCCTATTAGAAGCGAATAGCCCATTTATGCATTTTCAACTAAACTATGAACAAAAATGTAACCTGTACAAGATTGCTCGAAATGCTTTTCAAATGAGAACTAAGACAATGATGTTCTTAAAGGAGTCAGCAGATCTCTTTTGTCATTAACTATAACATGACTCAGCAAATTACAATGACATTTCCTCTCCCTGAAACCAAAAGTTCTACCTAAAGTACCAATTTTGAGGGTATCATGCACAGCTACAAACATGGATGCATAAAATACATTGTGGAGACATATGCATAGGCAGGTTTATATGCATGCAAGCATGTGAACATAGACATAGACACATACAGCACCAAGGTTTAGAAAACCTAAAAGGATAAAAAAAGAATTATCAAATATTTTTAACAAAAGATAACGAATCAACAGCAATTTCAAGATTTTCTTGAGTAAAGCAAGAAAGATACCCAAACACAACTTTGGAAGTCAAATTTTGAGACAAAGAATTTGAACAGTTAATATTCAATTTAAAACTAAAAATTGCTATATATTACTATGAAAACTGAGGTTTGCGTACAAAAGCTGAGCAGCTAGCTCTGCAATTAAAATAACATATTGCAAATTAACTTTTATATTAGCATTTCTTTTTGTTTCGTCTCCTTCTGATATAAAGTTATAAATCTCAGATATAGCCTCTGAACTTAAAAATATGCTTTTCATTAACAGTTCCAATCATTTTCACACGCTGGTGCTCAATGAACAAATCTGATCAGTCATTTTTTTTTCCTAAAGGAGTTACTCTTAGAAATTACCAATTAAACATATTGATTTATTTTATTTTTCTGGTAGTAGGACTACACTAATAAAAAAAAAAATCTTGAATCCCAAGACGGAAAATGGTGGAAAAATACTTCCAGAGCAGGCAAAATATTTTCTAGGCAACTCCATATCCTTACGCACCCACATAAGTTAATAATACAATTGTTTCAATTTGGTAGTGAAAACAAAGAAATGGAGAAGAAAAAATCAACAGCAGGAGTTCTGATTGAAAACACAACATCATGAACTCGAAACTCAGCTTCAATAACCTACAAGCTCATCTCCTCATATTAGCATAAACTCAGAAGTTGATGTATCTACATATGTATATATAGAAGCAGGTTGGATTATAAGATACAACGTGAGGCTATATAAAGTGATTCATAAAATATAATGTACCTTGAAGATCTACCGAAACCATACGCGGCGTGTATGTAGGAATGCCCTGGAATTAATAGGGCATAGAGCACAAGAAGAAGTTGTCATCCTCATCTTTGAACTAAAAACCACCACTTAATTCATTCAAGCTAAATGCAGAAATAACATAAAAGGAAGAAATTTATGCCTTCAGCCAAAAGATTGACCTGACCTGACCTGCTGAGTTTCACCAGTACGATAAAGGACATCCATGTTAAGGCCATGACTTTTGAATACTTCATCACTTCCGGGGCTGTCAGCCATTCCAATCAACTCATCCTTCAAGACATTAAATCAAACAAGCTATCATTCTCCAACTAAAACCATAACTTGGAGGGAAATCACCGCTTTTAAAAATGTATGTTCAATGCAGAAGAGAAGCCGTATTCTACGGAAAATCACACAGACATCAACCAGGCTGATGGTATACCATGATAAACATACTACAAGTTTCCCGAGCCACAATTCAACTACTCCAAAAGGTGGGGGCAGGCAGTAGCACATCATAATCAAGGATTTTGCCAGAGTATCAACTAGATAAAAAATTGAATTGAAGGTGGAAAACATTTGGTACCTGGAAATTCCAGAAGTGAGAACCCACAAAATTTGCGTAATTTCCAACTTGTATCGTGACAATCTCCTTCATAATTCTACAAGAAGAAAAGAACTGTGGAGGAAGAAAAATGAAAGAATTAGGGAGTAGAAGGAAGACGAAAGGAGGATAAGGTTGAGGGCGGCGGCGGCGGGTCTGGTACTTGCCCAGTCGTTCCGAACCGGCGGCTCGATCCGGTTCCATTGAACCGAGCCGAACGGTTCTTTCCGATCCGGTTCGAATCGACGGTCCATTCTTTAAAGAAAATAATAATATTCCGATCGTTTCAACTCAAAACTTTTTTACCATTTTGATTCCATTCCAAAATATTTATTTCTTATTTTTTACTATTATTTATGAAATAATAAAAAAGTAATATAGTAAATAGAACATATAATAATAAATAAATTAATTATTATTAAATAAATAAAATAATAAATAAATAAATAAAATTATTTACTATAAATTTATAAATTCAGCATACGCCCAAACAAATATAATTACATGATTTTGATGGTAAAAAAGATACTACTCCATTCAATATGATTTGTATCATGAGGTACTGAAACATAAAAAAAAAAATAAAATAAAATGATACAGTAATAATTGAAAATTGATTCATAAAAGTAAAATAGCTGTAGATATTTTACACTAATTCTTCCTTAGACTTGTTCAAAGGGTTAGAACAGTAGATTATGATTCAAACAGTCTATTTTTGTTTATATATATATAATTTAATATATTTTTTAAAAATAATATATATTTTTTTTCATTTATTATATTTATTTGTCCCTTTCAATTTTTTTTTTTTAAAAAAATTCATTATAATAAATAGTAACAAAAAAGACCTAGAAAAAATTCCCAAAAATACAACTTTTACATTTGAAAAATATACAATTACTTGAGCTATTTTCTTACCATTTTAAATTCAAATGAACATGGTTTTATCCATATTTTCAATAAAAATACATTATTTCATCTTATAAAAATATTACTGTTGAGTAAGAAAAAAACTAATTCAATGGGCCTATTAATGGCAGTGGGATCCTAAATGGGTCTGAATATAAGCCAAACGGCCCGAGTGTTGTTAAGAAATGGGTTTTTTCGGGAGAAACCTGTGATTAGGAGACGACCGATACGGAGGTCGGTCAAAAGGAAGTCGGGCGAAGAAAGATGAGAGGGCAGACACAGAGGTCGGGCAAAAGGAAGTCGGGGGAAGAAAGATGAGACGGCCGATACGGAGGTCGGTCAAAAGGAGGTCGGACAAGAGGAAAATGGGCTTCTAGGGGCCCATTTGAAAGAAAGGTCTGTTAATTGGTTGCTTAATTAAGCAAACTATTAATCGCCTGATCGATTGACCGGTCATTTGGTCAAACAGTAGTTCAGTCGTTTGAAAGGGCGGTCAGTTGGTCACTTGATTGGGCGACCAATGAATCGTCTGGATAAATGGTTGTTCAGCTGTTTGAAGGGACTGAATGGTGGTACCAGTTGATATTGACCCTCGATTTCCAGGTATGAATCGTACCCAAATTCGTAATGCTAAACGCAGGTACGCTGCAAGGTACAAGAGAGGAATCCCTTCAACGAGACAACCGAACGACTTCCAAGTCACTTCTGATAATCCGGTAAGAAGTCGGTCCATGCAGAAGAGGGGTAAAGAAGTATCAGATCAAAAAGTTGAAGGTTTCATATGCCAGTATTGTGAACGGATCAACATCAATCCATCCCTAGAAGAATTTCATTTGGAATCACTGACAGCCCAACCCAGAAGCGAAGCAAGAGAAGAATTCTGTTAAACAGAAGAATACTCAAGATCTGTCAAATCTCGGCTGGGCCCACGAGTCCCATGCCGGATGACAAAAGTTTATTGGATTAAAGAAGAGCCTTTATGGGCAAGTCTGGTGGATGGTTTTACGGAGGAACCAGAATGGGCAAAGATTTCAGATCCTGATTTTCAATCAGAAATTCCTCCGATAGTTTTTCCTCCCATTCCAGAAGGTACAACATCCCATTTAAAACCTCTGTATGTTAATGCGCACATTTGCGGGAAACCAATCACGAAGGTTTTTATAGACAATTGGGCTGTCTTCAATGTTATGCCATTGAAGACCCTCAAGAAGTTGGGGAAAGGGGTTCACGATTTATCTCTAGTAGATTTCGAGATGACTAGTTTTACAGGGCAATCGACCAAACCATAAGGTATGATGGTAGCCCCAATTAAAGTTGGACCGAAAAAGATTTCTTCCGTGTTCTTTATAGTGGATGCAGACACTACATATTCGGTCCTTCTTGGGCGAGACTGGATTAATGTATCCCAATGTGTAGCATCATCACTACATCAGCAATTAATTTCTGGAAAGGCAATGAGGTCTTCAAAATGGAAGCAAATGACAACCCTTTTGGTGCATCAGAGAAAGTTGAAGAATCAGTATTCCAGTCATCTACCCCCAATGTCTCAGGCTTTTATGGCTAGTGAATACCCAAGGAAGGGTTATAAATTCACCAGCCAGAATTCAATGTTCTTCTAAAAAAGAACAACATTATTATATGGCTCATAAGGAAGCCAAACCTATCTTATAATATATCTTTTATGGATAGTACAAATTTGGAAGATTTTAGTTTACTTATTAATCATTTTTATTTAAATCAGCTTTTGGAAAAGACAGAAAAAATTTTAAAAAATGTATGATGTTTATTACCAGGAAGATGAGAAATTTCGGTGGCCGGATTTGTTAGAAAAGACAGAACTAGTCTTTTCAGCTCAAGACCCTTTATTGGAATTCAATTTAGGAACCGTCTTGGTTCCAAAAATAGTAAGGATAAATGGTTATTTGTCTGAAGAGCAACATGTAAAGATACTTGAGGTTATCAAAAACAATATTGATTGTTTAGCCTGAGATTATTCATAAATGCCTGGTTTGGAAAGAAGTCTGATAGAGCATCGGTTGCCTATTAGAGAAGGTTTTAAACCTTACAAACAGCCCCCAAGGCGTATGAGTCCTGATTTGATGCCTCAAATCAAAGAGAAAATCCAGAAGCTTCTTAAAGTGGGTTTTATTCAGCCTTGCTGATATGCAGAATGGTGGCAAATATTGTACCAGTGGTTAAAAAGAATGGTAAGATCAGGATATGTATTGATTTCAGGGATTTTAATATAGCCACTCCTAAAGACGAATATGTTATGCCTATGGCCGATATGCTGATTGATTCAGCAGCAGGACATAAAATCCTCAGTCTGATGGATGGTTATACATGATATAATCAAATCTTTTTGGCAGAAGAAGATATTCATAAGACAGCGTTCAGGTGTCCAGGAGCTTTAGGTATTTACGAATGGACGGTTATGCCATTCGCTTTAAAAAATGCTGGGGCAACTTATCAAAGGGCCATGAATTCAATCTTTCACGATCTTATTGGAAAATCTATAGAAATATATATTGATGATGTTATCGTCAAATCTTCTAGTTTCGAGGAACACTTGAGGGACCTGAAAGATGCCTTCGAACGAATGAAGAGGTACAAGTTGAAAATGAATCCAACTAAATGTGCTTTTGGTATATCAGCTGGAAGTTTCTTAGGATTTTTGGTACATGAAAGGGGAATTGAAATCGATGCCAATAAAGCCAAAGCAATTCTATCCATCCAATCACCCAAAACGGTTAAGGAAGTACAAAGTCTTTTGGGCAAGGTATATTATTTGAGGAGACTCATTTCTAATGCTGCAGGAAAGGTCAGGCCAATTACCAAATTGTTAAAGGCTGGGGGGAACACTTTCGATTGGGACCAGATCAGCAGACAACTTTAGAAGCTATAAAGCAGGCCTTGATTCAACCACCTGTGTTAGTGCCTCCCAAGTAAGGTCGGCCCCTCAAACTTTATCTGGCAAATACACATGAAGTGGTCAGCTGCTTACTAGCACAAGATGATGATGATGGAAAGGAAAGGGCAATTTATTATTTGAGTAAGACCCTCACAGGACCAGAAAAAAATTACACCATGCTAGAAAAAATGTGTTACTCATTGGTGTTTGCATGCACCAAACTTGAGCACTATATGCTGCCCAGGAGAATAGAGGTTATCTCAAAGGTGGATCTTATCAAATTAATTTTGCAAAGACCTACCATGCAGGGCAGACTTATGAAATGGGCCATCAAATTGGCTCATTTGGATTTGCAACATTCTCTATTAAAGGCAGTTAAAGGACAAGCAATAACGGATTTTTTGGCAGACCTTTCGGGGGATAATCAAGAGCAGATCGGATGCATAGCTTATGTAAGTGCCCAAAATTGGTTAATGTTTTTCGATGGTTTTGCTTCGGGAAATAGATCAGGTGCAGGGGTCTTATTGAAAGGACCAGATGGCCAAAAGATCAAGTTACAACTACAATTAGAAGCCATGACCCATAATTCGGCAGAATATGAGGCTTTAATCTTGGGGTTGGAAGCCTTAATAGCCAGGAATGTTCAGTCGGTGATTATAAGGGAAGATTCTCAATTGGTAATCAATCAGGTAACCAAGCAATATGTTTGCAATTATCCTCATCTACGCAGATACATGGATATTGTATGTCGGTTGCTATAAAAAATCTCAGAGGTGATAATTGAGTTATTCCTAGGAAGGAAAACCAACTTGCATATGAGTTAGCTCAAAAAGCTTGTAAAGGAATCCCAAAAGACATTTGTGTGGA